TTATTGTTCAGATTATAACTGTATAAGCATGTGTTCACTGCTCAGATTATGACTGTATCAACATGCGTTTGCTGTTCATATTGTAAATGTAAACGTGTTCACTGTTCAGATTATAACTGTATAAACTTGTGTTCACTGTTCAGATTAAAACTATAAACATGTATTTGCTGTTCAGATTATAAATGTAAACGTGTTTGATGTTAAGATTATAAATGGAAACGCATGTTCACTGTTCAGATTATAACTGTAAATGTGTTCACTGCTCAGATAATAACTGTATAAACATGTGTTCACTGTTCAGATTATAACCGTGTAAACATGTGTTCACTATTAAGATTATAACTGTGGAAACTTGTTCCTGGTTCAGATGTTAACTGTATAAACGTGTTCGCTGCTCAGATTATAACTGTATAAACATGTTCTCTGTTCAGATTATAACTGTATAAACATGTGTTCACTGTTCAGATTATACCTGCGTAAACATGTTCACTGTCCATATTATATCTGTGTAATCATGTGTTCACTCTTCAGATTATACCTGTTATATCTGATTATGACTGCGTAAACATGTTTTCTCCTGCTCTGCATGGAGACTGTAGCAGTAGAGCTGTTCACTTCCACAGGCACCTTTTAAAAAGATGCTAATAGTGATGGTAATCAACATTAAAATTCATATTTGAAATGGTGAAATTATGATTGGGCTTTTACACCGCTTAACTGTCCTGTTCTCAACGGTGGGATCCCTGCGGACCCTCTGATGGGCAGGCCAAGTGCTCCAGTGCATTATGAGGATGGATGCATCAGATACGATAGCAACTTCCTCTGAATGGCGGAAAAAAAATCTTTAGTGATTGGATAACAAGCTGCGTGACCGGACTGAACGGCCATTCCAGCATATAGCAGAGTGACTTCATTGCAACCAAAAGAGAAAAGAGGAGTAACTGGATAAGGCTGTAATAATTTGGCTGTAATTCGTTCTTTGACTGAAGGGAGGAGCAACTCTCTCATCAAGCGACACACGATAGTTCAGAAAGACGGTTTGGAAGTGTGCATTAATGACATCACTGGTTGACCTTTGACCCCATTACAGCCAGTGTCATCCCGTTCCCGAGCGGAGTAAGGTTACGGGGAGATAAGGAAAGACCCTTAAGGCCGGGCTACACCCAGACAGAGCGCCCCTCGGAGGGTAAAACCCCAGAGACAGTGTCTGTCTGGGTAAAACACAATGACAAGTCTTCAATAGGGGTGGGAAAAATGCATCAATCTGAAGTCGATTACTTACAATAGGCTATGATAACATTCAATAAAGTATGCACTTATTTTTAGGCCACGTTTTTTCCACTACTGTATAAATAGTCACTCCAGTTACTGTTACGGTATATTCAGTCTATTTTTTAAAGAAATTTAGGATTTTACCAAAACAATTAGAGATTTCACGATCGTTTCCTAAAGAATCATAATCAAATCTGATCACTGTATGGACAAATATTTACAGTGGCAAACCATGACTGCTACATCTGGTCCTTCAGTTTGGGTCATAAATGTCACAACTTGTTCAAAAATGAGGAAAAAAACACCTTTGCCATAATGCAAATTTCTGTTAGCACACCTATGGGATTCTAGTAGTATATTAGCGTCATGCTAACGGCGATTCACATGAACTTTTTTTTACCATTCTAGCTTAAACATGAACATTTGAAGCTTGTAAAAGACATTTAATGAGTTTTATTTGAAGCTTGCAAAATACTTTGTCATATATTTAACCCTTTAGTAGGTTTATAATGACTCTCAGTGAAGAGTTTATAGAGCTGCGGTTGTTTTCAATATCTAACATCTGACTAACAACAATCAGTGAAGTATCTAGAACTTCCACAAGACCTTCATTAATGAGCTTTTTCTCACAACATTTGTCCCCGTTAGTGGTTAGGCCTTCTGTCCAGCTCCTGAAGTCCTAACCAATGGGAGAGCTCACTTGGCTGTATCTACTAAATACCATGATAGGACAATCCTGATAGGATAATTTTCCCACTGGGTGTTTCAAGAATTTAACCCTTTTTTCCAACCAAAATTGTGGAGTATTACTAAAATACCTGAGTTAAATACAACAAAGCATGATGATTATGTTAAATGAAAATCAAGTCAGAATGATAGACATGTATTTTTTTTATTGTACAGAAATCATTAAGGCTTCTCTGAAGGCCTAGAAGGTCCTGAGGGTTCATGCCTATTCATCAGCACTGTTTATAAAGTAGTGTTAAGGCACACAGCTACATTATAACTGTTTCTAAATGTGCTGCTATTAAGGTTACTTAGCTATTCAAGTGTGTTTATGTGCATCTGCTTTTGCTCTAATGCACATTTCCTTCAAATGAGTTGAGATGAGGTAGTGTTTAAAGGGCCCGTGTCATGGAGAAAGGCTTCACTTTTTTATTTGGTAAAACAAAAATATACTGTCCCCAATCCATACAGCCCACATATGGAAATACACAAAAACTAGAGGTTTTACGCAATACTGATTATTCGGCCTACAGCAGTTTAGCCCCGCCCATTCATGTTGAAGTCATAAGGAGTGGAGCGCAGCAGCATCTGTCCAGCAGATGTGCTGGTTGTGCAGTGTGGGTGTAGTTCCCAGTACATTTATAACTGCTTGGTGCCTGAAAGCTCTGGTTCAACTGGTGAAGTTGCTTAATATTGTAACAAACGGCACAAAAAAACGGTAAAATTGAAATTTACTTTCTGAACCTTTGGTCCTTAATAAGGACGTCTACAACAGTTTCTAGTGAATTTTTTATTACAATTGTTGTTTTAAACGTTATAATTATCTATATAAATTGTGGCTAAGCCACAATTTATGCGAGAGCTGGTAAAAATGCCACCGAAACTCGCTTACAGTGAAAGAATTAAATGTTTCTCCACCCTTGCTCCTATGTAAAAAGCAGGCACAGGGAACTGGACTGCATTTTGAGTGGGGGCAGACAATCAGAACGGAAATCATTTACATATCAGTCTTAAAGGGACAGTAACCAAAACAGCCTGATTAATTCTAAGGGATTAAAAGAGGCTAAGAAATAGTCAGTTCTTGGTACGTAAAAGCACACAAATGTTATAGGTGGGTCTAGGGGGGGGGGTAAAATACAGGAAAAATGTAGGCTATGGGCCCTTTAACCCTTCACTCTTACTGCAGGATCAGGGTGAATGATGGCTCTCAGCAGATCGGATACTGATCAGAATCGAGAGCCAGCGTGGCCTGCAGAGCCATGGGATCAATAGCCGCCGTCTCAGGGCGGGGTGTGGGAGCGTGCAGGGCGGGTAGTGGACTGCAGAGAGATTCATTTACAGCAGGAGGATTTCTCCTGAAAATAAAACAGGAGGTCATTCAAAGGGAATCTGATTAAAGCCATGATTAACCCACAGCTTTGGGAAAAGGAAGAAAGTAAGGGCAATCGTTCTTAAAGGCTGCGAAGAAAATAGCTTTGCGGGCAAGGCCACACCGACGCCTGCCTTAGCACAGGACAGCTTCCATTTATCTTCTGCTTACATCGAGTTTCTTGTGTAATTTTGCCTCAGCAGTGATTAGTTGTCAGTCTGCATGATAATAATGTGTATTTGAGATTCTCTCACTGCTCTCACAGTAAAAACAGTGTCTGGAAGGCGCATAAATTTAGATGAATTTTTAAAAAAATTTTGTGCATTGTTTAAATAGTTTACCTTGTTTTATGGCTAATTAGTTTGTCTTTTCCTCGTAAGAACCTTTTAATTGTTCAGTCACTTTTTATTGTTTGCCTTTAAAAAAAAATCTTTACTCAAGAATTTTTTAAAGGGGAATTTCAGAGACTTTTTAAAATTTTAAAATGCGTACTTCAGAGGTGCAGATGTAAAAGAAAAAGCATTCAGAGTGGTTTGGTGTGAAATCCTTCATTGGAGAGAAACTTACTGACTGACTTTTCTTTACAGTGGTGGAGACAGGAACCTTTTTTTGCCTTACAACACCACCTTGCATGTATGTCTGCCATGAATATGCCTAGAAAATATATGTTAGACTTGAACCTTATCTTAAAATAAGGTTTTGGACATCAGGTAGCATAGTCATAACCTTACGCCGTGCAATTTTTATACTTTTGCAATGAAATCTTTCCATTTTCTTGTTAAAAGAGTCATCCCATGTGACTAAAAACAAAGTCTGATTTTTAATGAAGTAAACAGTTCAGTGATAAAGCTTCACATTTTAGCCATACGGTTTGATAAATTAGAACAATGTCTCCTCTTTTAGGCCAAAACCTTGAAACCTTGTGTACAACAGTGTCTCAGGCATCAGGCGGCATATTCATAATCATTTCATGTAATAACTTTATGTGAGGGAGCTTTGAAGCATTAAACTCTTCAGACATCTGATTCTTATCGCAACAACAACAATTCTGACTCTGGAAGTTTCTGTAGAACGGAGCATCTAACATCAGAATTTTGAAAATTGGTGGAATTCCCCTGAACATGAATGGGAAATTCATAATTCATTCTCTTTTCATACTGGAATTATTTGGGAGTGAAACACAGTACAAGGGAGGGTCTCTGAGCTGAGCGTTTACTCTCCATGATAATTGGGGGGGTGTGGGGGGGGGCTAGTGAGACTATTGGTACTATTGTTATATTTTTCTCCGCCTGCTGGTGCACAGTGATGTCATCAAAAATCAGAGGACGTTTTAGAGGCGAGGCAAAAGTCATTACCTTTAGTCTGACAAGAATTAACTGTTTTAAATGATGAACTGTGCTCAATATAAGCAGGGACATTAATTAATAAGACAAAAAATGTCTGTTTTGATTTCAGATTTTAAAGAATTGTTCTTGGAAAGGCTCTTCAGGAAACCGCCACTCCAAAAAACCCCTTTTTTTTTTTTAAGTGTATATTGATTAATTGTGAAAATAATCGGTAGACTGCTCGATGACCAATATAATTAATAGTGACAGCCCTATATAACTGTAAAAAAGACAGGAATGAGTCTAGATTCAGTTCAGCTTCACAATTTATCCAAGACCACAATGATTCAAAACAAATGTCATTTTATGCTATTTCATATTTCACCACATATCATGGATATATATTGTGTTAATATCTAAAAATACATGGCAGTCGATGTCCAGGGATGCGCTTTTCCTTTCAGGCTGAAGCACACAGATTAATCTGATCATATGTGACATGCCTCCAGTCCAGTGTCAGCTCATGTCCTTTATCATACCACATCAAACCTTGTGCTCATGTCTTCTCTTAGGCATTTCTCTCTTTTCTTTCCGCTGTAATCTCTCCCTCTTTCTGTACGCTGTGCATAGCAACCGTTGTCTCCTCCTCCACCTCCACCACCAGCGGCTTCCACGACTCCTTGTGCAGCCTCTCGTTCCTCTCCATCTCCTGTGCTGAAGGGGGAGCTGTGGCCACTAAAGCTGGAGGGAGGTGCTTAAACTCTTCCTCGTTGATATCGTAGTCCTTCATCTTGTGGTCCAGCGCCCACCAACGGCCGGCGAAGCCCACGTCCAGCACGCGTTTGGGCAGCTCCGCCCAGGGCACGGAGAGGGCAGAGCACTGCGCCTCATACAGGCTGCACTCGTGGTCAAAGTCCACCACGTAAGTCAGTGAAACCAAGCCCAGACTGAGGTGACGTAGCCGGCCTTCATTACGCAGCTTCACCAGATTCTGCACATGCCCATCTGACGTCCCGCTCCGTATCCAAGGAGACAGAAGCGCCAGCTTATTGGACGTCTCTAGTAGGTCAGTCTGGAACGACGTGTCGCTGGGGTTTGTTCGGTAACAGACGTAAATTCCTCCCACAAGGGCCACGTAAACTGTAGCTTTAACCGGACGCTCCCGCGCGCCGACGAACACCTCGCGGCACGCCTCCTTATAATCGCCCAACAGGCTGCGGCACCAAGTGCCTGGAAAAAAAAGAACGTAAAAGATAGTTTTTAGTGGGATGAGGGCTGAAGTGAGTATCCTGGATAAACCATAAAGTTTAAAGAAACACAACAAAGAAAAACCAATTCAGTTAAAATTTAAATTAAATAAAAAAATAAAACTATTATATAAAAGTAATACATAAATAAAACCAGGCCAAACCAAAAATGCAATAAAAATGATGCATACATAAATAAATAAAAATAAATCAATAAAAATAATTAATTTGTCAGGTTTTTCATGAGATGGAGGCTAAGGTGATGTCCCTAGACAAAAAAAAAGTAATTAAATAAAAACTACATATAAAAAATTCAATAACAATGGTAGAGCAATAGAATTGCTAATAAAAAAAAGGAAATACATAAAAATTAATGAAGGCATAAATAAATAAATAATTATGCAAACCAAAAAAGCAATAAAAATTATGAATATGTAAGTAAATAAAAATAAATAAAATAAAAAATAAAAGCTTTTAGCAAGATGGGGACTGAGGTGATTTCACTGAACAAAAAAAGTAAAATACATTATATTAAATAAAGACTTACACCACATTAAAAAGCAATTAAAATTTTGATAATATAACAGATAAATATATAAAAGCAATGTACACATACATAACAAACATAATCTTTAAAAACTGACATGTAGGGTAGCTAGCATGTGTTGTGTTTTATAAGCAGAAACCTCAAAGGATGCAGGCAAGAGCTTCTGGGTACCCAGATTAAATACACTAAGATTGTAATAGTCACAGTTTTTGAATTATTATTTTGAAACATTCTCATTAAAGGGACACTGTGGCCAAACTGAAAAATGTTCCCAACGCCAAATCCGTTAGAAACTTCCCTACTCTGATCCTACAGTGATATAATATAGTCTTAGGAGTGAGATTTGTCAATGAAAGCCTATAAAAACTCTTCTGATGACGTATCTTGAAGGTGAGAGGAACCTGTGGAAACACTACAAGGGCTTGGGTGGATACATGAGTGCAGGCTGTTTACAATGTTTTTCATTCACTTTTCCCCCTGATTGCTAGGGAATGAGAAAAGAGGCCAGACGGCTAATATTACAATATTACTAATATTACAGATTGCCTCTTATATGGCACAAGCAAAAAGAAAAACCTCTATGGCTGTCAACGTGTTCAGGTAATGAGATAATATTGCATAAAACAACATTTTGTAAAATATATACACTTTAATAATTATGTTAGTCATTTAGTCCAACAGCAATACACAGTTTCTACTTTCTACAAGTCCTACTGTGTTGTGAGAATGAGAACTGGGTCACTTAAATGGTAATGCAGTCACAGAAACAAACAAACAAACAAACAAACAAACACACAAAAAAAAACATTCAAGCTTGACATTCAAGTGGAATTTCACAAATTTACATTTTCACAAACCGGATAATTCAGTCGTTAAGATTTAAAAAGTCATTCAGAGTAGTCTGACGTGAAACGCTCCGTTGTAGAGAAACTTACCAAGTCAGAATCATTCACAGTGGTGGTGATAGGAACCAGACGTCTGAAGAGTTTAATGCCTCTAAAAGCTCCATCATGAGGTGAAATCATTACGAATACGCTGCCTGAGGCATTACTTTAGGAGAAGCTCTAAGTCTAAAACTCATTATCTCCACGGTAGAGAGGTACATTCAGAGCACTGTACGGCAAAATAGGACCACAAAAATATATTTTTCTAGATTTAACACCGTTTTACCATTATCACTATTACAACTAAAAACTCTGAGGAGGTTCACTGGTCATTTTAGATAGTAAATAAAATAGCCATATTTGCGCTGATGCCTGGTTCCTATCACCACCACTGTAAAAAGCTGGTGAGCTTCTCTACTATTAATCATTTTACATCAAGCCCCTCTGAATAATTTCGTTTACATCTCAAGAGAAAGAATGCTGCACAATTTTAAAAAATGAGTTGACTTTCCCTTTTTAATTTTAAAAGCTGGGTCCCTGTGTTTGTCAAGTTTGTCTTAAGTTAAACTAATAAGCTGCGTCTTCACTTTTCACTCTTTTAAAAGATGGTTCTTCAAGTGTTCTTCAGTAAAGGGAATGGTCCTGTTTAGAACCAGAAACACTCCAAGTACCATTTGCATGCTTAAATGGTTCTTCAGACTGATAGAGATTGTGTTGTGTATATAGTTCTATATATAGAACCTTTTTTTGAAAATGGTTCTAAAAAGCACCAAAAGGGTTCTACTGTTGTTACAATGTCAAGCTCGTACCAGTAGAAGGACCCTTTTAGTGCTACATAGAACATGTTCTCTATCAATCTGAAGAACCATTTAACCATGCAAGGAAGCATTTAAGCATGCAGATGGCTCTTTAAGTGTTCATGGTTCTATACAGAACCCCTGAAGAACCGTGTTTTAGGAGTAAGTGAGCCACAGTGTATCCGATGCTGGACCAACTTCTGGTGACACCTTCATTCATTTCTCCCCGGACAGCGAGAATCTGAGCCGTAAAGCGCTGAACGGGCGGATAAAGAGGTGAAGATCAAACCGAAAAGGTTCTTTAAAGACGGGTTTAAAACACTCACCGACCCGGCAGTTCTTCAGTCTCTCCCACCGGGTGTCTTTACTCCGAGCCGCGGCCGCCGCGGAGCAGAACCTCCTCAGCAGACACGAGGCCGCCATGTCAGCGTCCACACAGCAGGGCCCGCGCACAGGTCAGCGGTTCGTGACCGACATTCAACCGGAACAGAAACCGGACGCGCCTCGAGTTTCCGCAGAGCCGCCCCGCGAAACACGGAGCGCCGAGAAACCGCAGAGCCGAAATGGCGCAGACCGCCAGTGTTATCGGTCCGACAGGGAAACAAAGGTTCGTTTATAAGTTCCACTACGATATTTCACAGGTTTTATGTCTAGTTTTTAACTCGAACGTGTAGAGCTGAACGGTTTCAAATTCAATTTAGTTTAGCTTTTCTTATTGAATAAATGTTTACCTGAAATAATGACTTATGAATGTGTCTATAAAAGTGTCATTATTATTATTATTATTATTATTATTATTATTATTTTACACAGAGCATAGATATACAAAGCAAACACAAAAATATGTTAAACATTACCGTAACATATCCTAGTGGGGTACACTGCATTTAAAATAAAAAGGTTGTATATTTTTAAAAGCGTATCTGAATGAATTAATTTAAAAAAATAATTAATTATTAATAACCCTAATTATTAATAATTTTTGGCTTGTCCTTAGCACATTTTGATCTATGTATGTATTAAAATTACATTTTATGAAACTAAATTATTAATCATGTCAAAAAAGAGTCCTTTTTCTTGTGCGCTTCAAAACCAGCACTCACGCTGTCGCATTTTGTGGGAAATCACACATCCAAACCTAGATGAAATTCTCTTAACACCTCAGCGAATGACGCTAATGTGTGCGCAATGGATCATGGGCATTGTAGTTTTTAGCGACGTCTGCTCAGAACTAACTGCGTTGACATGTCTCACTTTTGAAACTACAACCTAACAATATGCTAACCGATCCAAACTGATTTAACAGTCCTTGTTTAACAGTTATATGTTATATAATGTGCTTGTTATATCTCTGATAAATAGATGGTGTAAATTAGCCTGCGTAGATAAATTAAATCAACGCTGTATTATTTACTGGAACATATTCCTAATATTTCATTTTATTTTATTTTATTTTATTCTATTCTATTTTAATGCGAACGGCCTAAGTAATGCCCACAACGTAATAAATAATAAACGTAATAAACTGCGCACATTTTATTGAAATATATATATATATTTATTATTCCTGCTTGGGTCCGGTCACGTGACCGTATGTTGACACACGGACAGGAACTCTCTGGCCCGATAGGTGACGTGGAGTATGGTCACGATATGATTTAACGTAATGATAAAGTATTAAATCGCTGTTTGGCGTGTTGACGTGTTAAAACAGGCTGACAGGAGGACTGAAAACTGGTGAGGGAATGTTAATGTTATTACAGGCAATATATTTAACGAACCTGGATTCAGCTTCTCATTCGCCAGCTTTTTGTTCGAATTCTCCCGTTCCACCTTAAATGCTGCAGCAGTTATAATCTGGCGCTTGAGATGCGCCACAGTGTACTGCAGCACCATTTAAGGTGGAACGGGAAAATTCCGACAAGCAGCTGGCGAATGGGAAGCCAAGCCAACTCCGGCCTCGTGTATGTTGGTGATGTATGTTTGTGTGAATGTATGTCGTTCATAATTCGTTACTGTCTCATTTTTGGGGGGTTATGAATCAAAGCTGCTCAAGGTTGAGAACAGTAACCCTCCGTTGACGCCTTTAGCAAATAAAACAGGGAGCTGAACCTGTTCTCAAAGCTCAGCGTTTGGTTTAAAGACTTAAAGGGGAATTCCACCATTTTTTCAAAATTTGTGCATAATTAAATGGCTAAGATGTAATCAGTGTCGTTCAGAGTGGTTTGGTGTGAAATGCTCTGTTCTAGAGACACTTACAGAGTCAGAGTTTTCACAGCTGTAGTGATAGGAACCAGACGTCTGAAGAGTTTAGTAGTTGGTTAGCTTGCAGTTTTGCTCTACATATAAGTCCATTTATCATGCAACAACTAACCTTAGCATGATGCCACTGAACTTGCTGTGATTGGACTAAAGGGATGAGACTTTGTATACCGTGGTCAAACATCCAACGGTGACATTTTGATTATATGCAGTTAACATAATTATCTGTTGCTTTGTTCAGTTACAACAGTCTTCTGACCAAAAGACTAAATTTAAATGTGATAAGGGGCACAACTTATGTTTTAGCCATATGGCTGGATCAGTTAAGAGCTTTGTACTCAAAGAACATTCACTGATCAGGCATAACATTATGACCACCTCCTTGTTTCTACGCTCATTGTCCATTTTATCAGCTCCACTTACTATATAGGTGCACTTTGTAGTTCTACAGTTACAGACTGTAGTCCATCTGTTTCTCTGTGTACTTTGTTAGCCCCCTTTTACCCTGTTCTTCAGTGGTCAGGACCCCATGGCCCTCACAGAGCAGGTACTATTTGGTGGTGGATCATTCTCAGCACTGCAGTAACACTGACGTGATGGTGGTGTGTTAGTGTGTGTTGTGCTGGTACGAGTGGATCAGACACAGCAGTGCTGCTGGAGTTTTTAAACACTGTGTTCACTCACTGTCCACTCTATTAGACACTCCTACCTGGTCAGTCCAACTGTCTAGATGTAAAGTCAGAGACGATTGTGTTGGTCATCCTCTAGTCCTTCATCAGTGGTCACAGGACGCTGTTGGCTGGATATTTTAGTTGGTGGACTATTCTCAGTCCAGCAGTGACACTGAGGTGTTTAAAAACTCCAGCAGCACTGCTGCGCCTGATCCACTCAGACCAGCACAACACACTCTAACACACCACCACCAAGTCAGTGTTACTGCAGTGCTGAGAATGATCCACCACCCAAATAGTACATGCTCTGTGAGGGTCCATGGGGGTCCTGACCACTGAAGAACAGGGTAAAAGGGGGCTAACAAAGTACACAGAGAAACAGATGGACTACAGTCTGTAACTGTAGAACTACAAAGTGCACCTATATAGTAAGTGGAGCTGATAAAATGGACAATGAGTGTAGAAACAAGGAGGAGGTCATAATGTTATGCCTGATCGGTGTATAAACCATTGGAACATATGGCATTTCACAGTTAGTCATCTTTCATATTTGCTGTGCACTTTTCTATGTTCCCTTCGTCAGTCTTTGCTGTGATCTCCTACCATGGCTAGTCCTGATGATTTAAAGTTTCAAGGTGAGTGGAGTCCTTTCCGATCAGTGACATGTCAATATGCTTTTGCCCATCTCTTTCTGCCTCATTCCATTCTTTATATTTTGTAAACTTGTGCAGAGTTTGAGGAGGCCGCTGACTTACTGGCTGCTGACCCCGGCGCCTCCACACTCAGCATCTCCAGCTCCAGCGCTGCTGTGTCTTCAGGGGACGTCAAAGTGGACCTGTCGGACGATGAGGACAATCAGCAGGAGAGCTCAGAGGTGCATTTATCAATATATTACATGATTAATATTATGGAAATTTTCAATGATTATTTCCTGAATTTTATCCTGAATGATTTAGTCATTCAGTCATTAGTTTTCTGATGCTTTGTCTGAACACTTTGGTTTTGTACTTTAATTACAGCTACTTGGAGGTGAAAAACAAACTAGTGGCTTCTGGACGTTTGAATATTATCAGTCTTTCTTCAATGTGGACACAGTGCAGGTATGGAATATACACTCTAGAGGGGATGACTTAGCAGGATAAGACTGTATGAACAGTTACATCCCTAGTATGCCAACATACAAGGGATGTAACTACAGCCTGTACGCCTGGGCTGACCATTAATACTGAATACCACAATCATTTTAAAAGGTCTTGATATTATGTACAGTCATTCTAATCCATGGTTTGTTCAAAATATGTATACAAACCTGTATCCACAAATGCAAGTTCAAACTGTAGTATGCACAGCAGAAGCCATGTATCAACAACATCTAGAAACGCCGCCAAATTCTCTGGGCTCAAGCTAATCTGAAATGGACTGAGGCACAGTGAAAATGTGTGTTGTGGTCTGAGTCCAGCTTTGAGATTGTTTATGGAAATAATTTACATTGTGTTCTCCATGTCAGAAAAAAGGGACCATCCAGATTGTTACCTGCGTAAAGTTCAAAAGCTAGAGTCTGACATGCCATGGGGGTGTATCAGTGCCCATGTCGTGAGTAACTTCAGGACATTCGTAAAATATCATTCATGTCTTTTTCTAATTTAATTTAGGTGCTGGATAGGATCAAAGGGTCAGTTATGCCTTTGCCAGGCCGAAATTTCGTCAAACATCACATTCGAAATAACCCAGATTTATACGGTAAGGAACGTGTTGTGTTACTGTGCTACTCATTTAATAATTTCATTGTGTTTAATATATGGATGTCTTTATGATTAGGCAGTTGCACTTTGAATGTTCTTTCATTGTCCAGGGCCGTTCTGGATATGTGCGACTCTGGTGTTTTCTGTGGCAATCAGTGGGAACCTCTCCACATTTCTGAGTAAAAAGGGTGACCCTCAGTATCACTATAGGCCACAGTTCCACAAAGGTGAGGAAAAGGATTTTTTAATTTGTTTTTTTTAAATCTCACTTGTTTCTGGAAACCTGAGAGTGATTTACATACATGCATTCAAATGGAATCAGCCTTACTGGAGTCATATGTTTTGTTTTTTGGTTAAATTTTACAGTCAGATGGAAAATTTGAACACCCCTGGTCAAATTGCATATTTTGTTTATATTCTAAGTAAACATAAATTAACTCATCCTCTACTGAGAACCCACTTAAATATGGGATTTTTTTGCTAATTTTATTTATTTGCTTTTGACATATTAGAAAGAAAACATAGCATATTAAATGTAGCATAACTTTCGCACAAGCCACATTTTATGTCTTCTATTTTTATATGTTAATATAATATAATATAATAATAGTACTTGTGTATTAAAATGTACAGAATTGTGTTGAAAATAAAAAAATTGACCACGGGCGCCCAAATTTTAGCACACAGCTGTACCTTTTATTTATGTTTTTTCCCCTTGGTCTCGGTGAGTTTTCCTGTTTTTCATGGTGTTTTTCCTTGTTTATTTCTAATCTTCCTGTAAAGCATTTTTTAAATTATTTTATTTTATGCTTGTTTTATTTATTGCCATAACATGGACTAAAACAGGGGTGTCCAATCTTATCCACAAAGGGCCGGTGTGGCTGCAGGTTTTCGTTGCAACACAGCAGGAGCTCACATGATCAGTTGTTTAAGACTGAGACTGACTGATAAAACGAGTGGAATCAGGTGTGCTGTTCTAGTTTGGAACGAAAACCTGCACCCACACCCACTTTGTGGATAAGATTGGAACTAAAACTCTGAACTAAAATGTGGATATTAGTATTGCTGCATACTATTTTCTATGTTTATAGATAACAGTATGTCATACAGTATCAGAAACTACGTAAACAAGTTTATCTGACATTACTTAACAACTTGGCACAGTTTGAGCCAAGCGAGTGATGATTCACATGCAGTTAGTAACTTATTAGATGGTGGGCTACACGATTCCTTTACTTGGAAGCTACATTAGCTTCATAGTTCCAGTGCTAAAACTAATGAAGCAAACTTCACACACCAAACATGTCTTGGCTGATTGGCTGCATTTGGGGTAAGGAGGGAAACTGCATCGGAGAACCGTTTCATTAAAGCGGTATTTTCGTCTTCTGACAGTGACAATTGCAGCAGTTGCTGTGTTCCTCTATGCATGGCTGGTCCCGCTGGGCGTGTGGGGCTTCATGACGTGGCGACAGAATGCTGAGAGACAGACCAGTGCCTATTCATTTTTAGAGACTGTGTGTGTCTACGGATACTCTCTCTTCATTTATATTCCTACCTCGGTGAGTTTGCTACTACATGAGCTAGGGATGGATGGAGATATTCAAATAAGATATTCAAAGATAAATCAGCAATTCGGCCTAAAGCACAAAGATAGATCACAAAAGCAACCTAAACCATATAGATAAACCACAAAAGCAACCTAAACCATATAGATAAACCACAAAAGCAACCTAAACCATATAGATAAATAACTAAATCAGTCTAAAACACAAAGATGAATCACAAATCAGCCTAAAACACAAAGATAAATCAGTAATTTGGCTTAAAAACATATATCACAAAAGCAACCTAAACCATATAGATAGATCACTAAATCAGCCTAAAACACAAAGATGAATCACTGAATCTTTTCACTTTTTTATTATTGGTAGTGTAAAACATTTTCTTGTTGGAATATTTGAATACTGTTCGTTTAAAAATATGCACATTTGAATATCATCCCAAACCATTGAAAAGCTTTATCGTTACATGTATTACAGCAGCACAACAGTGACTCTCTCTGTTTCTGTTTTAAGATATTATGGAGCATTCCCTTTGGGTGGCTTCAGTGGCTCTTGATTGTTGTCGCCATGGTGATTTCGGGCTCAGTGTTGGTCACCACCTTCTGGCCAGTTGTCCGCGACGACACCAAGACGACGGCTTTCGCCACCATGGCAACCATAGTTGTGCTCCATGCACTGCTGGCCGTCGGCTGCAAGGTAACTTTACACAAATGAGCGGAAGATCAGGTCGGATCCGTTTCATCTTAGTCAAGTCGAAGTTTATTTATATAGTGCTTTTTATAACAGGTGCTGTCACAAAGCAGCTTTACAGAAAAAAGCAGTAGTTCAGCAAAAGATCTAGTGCACCTACTCTGGAGCTGTGAGGCTAATGTAGCTAACAAGTAATGGAAGCTTATACCCCGAACCTGTGAAGTCATATGTTGTTCTGTAGTTGGCCTCAAACCCATATTAGGAACTATTTTTGTAAATCGCCAATATTGTGCCCTGTACCTAATACTTTTTACGAATAGCTTAACATTAAGTTATTAATGGTTATTAATTTGGTCATAAAGACCTTAAAAACCATTAATAAGCAGTTATAACGCATACATAAAGATGTCAGCAATGACCTGTTGCTTGCCAAATAGTGAGCCCACATTCAGCTGCACTGTTCGACTACACTCAGATCTTGCTGGTTACTTTGTCGTCTTCATCAGTCAGCATTAAACCTGTCAGCTTCATCAGATGGTTCATTAATGGTTTTTAAGGTATTTATGACTAATAAGACGACGTTTTTTCTGATTTATTAAGCCTGATGATATATCAATGAACACGTTTACTGCTTTCTTTTATTTACATTTATTTGCTTCAACTTGACACACAGTTCACATTTTGCATGTTGTGGCTTAATATGATTGTGAAATCTGTTATTGCAGTCAGCTCAAATCATTTTCTGTGATCCTCTCAAGTAATTGTGATTAGGCAATTATGTAATTGTGAAATGCCTGCTACCAGTTGGCACTGTGCAAACTGCATGTCTAAATAGTCACCCATTTGCCTCAAACCGTGTCGATTTATTGACAAAATGGACAAAAGTATGGACAAAAAATGTTCAGTTTTGTTGGTAACAGCATTTAGTACAGTGTCAAAAACCACATAAGCAAATTTATTTGAGATTACTTAAGAACTCTATGAGGGGAGGAGTTAAGAAAAATTGAATGATGAAAATAGTTTGAATAAAAATGCTTGTGAATAAAAAAGAAAGCTAATAAAATGCACATGAATTTATATCGTTTTAATAAGCAGTTTTGATATTTGTTTGTTTTGATAAGTCAACTCTTACTTGATTAAAACAGTGTTTATTGATAAAAATATGTATCTCAAATGTCACAAGATGGCAAAAATTACTCAAATGATAAATGAATTTTTTCTCACATCATTTGATGAGATACCATTTTAGTTTTCGGTTTACATGCATTTTAATTAACTTGCTTTTTTCCCGATATTGTTGTAATCAAATAGCAGCTCATCATATCAACTTTTTATAGCTCAAATATTCAGTTCATATGTATTTTAGTACCTACTTTTTTAAATTCGAATGCATTTTTATCAATCCCATATTCATCATTTATTTTTTGTTCATTGCACCTCTCGTACAACTCGACACAGTTTGAAGCAAGTGATGATTTAGACACGCAGTGTTAGCACCATGCTAAGTATCCATCACTTGTTAGCTACATTAACAGCACAGCTCCAGTGCTAATGTTTGGACACCACTGATGTCTTGACTGATTGACTACATTTGAGGGGGGAATCATGTATTGTCACCTCTAGTATCAGTGCTTGCAGGGAACTGTGTTCGTTTTGTAACATGTTTTCCTCTGTTTTCAGATGTATTTCTTCCAAACGGCAGAACTAACGGTATCACCACTCTCTCCAACAACTCCTGCTATGCTAAACCATACAGCTTTGATAAACAAACCTCACTGACCAGCAGCAAAAGGAAGAATGGAGGAGAAATGAATGAAGAGGAGAATTCATTCAAGCACCTTTTGATTAGTGAACTACTGGTTTAGCAGCTCATCAACACGTATGAAGCTGAATTAGTGTCAGATGGTGAGCAAAGTATGACATAACGTCGCTGTCGGAACAAACCTCGCATCTCCAAACATAAATTTAGGTTAACGTAACAATTTAATTCCATGTCATTTTGGACTATTTCTGTTGGTCCATCATGAAATGTTCACACAGTGTAAAGCTGCCGTTTTCAAATGGTGTAAAAACATAACGTTTTGGTCTGACAGCGATGACTCAGACAGTACTGTGCAAAACTCAGAGACATCCTGGTTCATTTCCAGTCAAAATGGCCATTAAGTACAAGTTATTCATTTTCAGTGTTAGGAAGAAGAAAGATTTACGCAGAAGCCTCAACAACTAAATATAATATCAAACTTCTCAGTATTTAGCGTGTCCACTCTTGACCTTTATTACTGCTCCCATTCTTTTCAGGAGACGCACTTTCAGTTTTTCAGAGAAATCTGCAGTCATACCTCCAAAGTTCAGTCTTAGGCTACGTTCACATTACTAGATTGAAGTGGCACAAATCTGATTTCTTTGCCCTAATGTGACTCAGATCTGATGTTTTCAGGGCTTTGTGGAAATCTGATCTTTTCAAATCCGACCTGAGCCACTTTCATATGTGGTCCTAGATCGGATATGTATCCAATTCGTGGCCATGTGACCTTAATGTGACGCTCAGATTGGAATTCATGTGGTTTTTTTTTCCGCTGTGCGTGCGCCATCGTTCAGTGTTTTGTGCTGATGACTCACGTGATTCATTCACATGACGTTACTGAGTAGGATGTGTTCATGAGGGCCATTTTAGGACGCCGGTTCGTCACATTAATGACAGATTTGAATCATAAATGATTGTGAACCATCGCATCAGAGATCAGATTTGAGGAAAAAATCTGATTTGAGCAATGAGGCTTGTAATGTGAACATAGCCTTAGAAGTTGGTTTAGCATTTTCTTCTCCCCACAATCCAAGTAATCCCAAACACATAGTGATGTTGAGGTCTGGACTCTGGGGTGGTCACTCCATTGTCCAGCTTCTTTGTTTGATGTGTCCGTCTCCTTTTCTCAGTGATGTTTCTTGACAGCTACACATCCTTTCAGACCCATAGCGCTGAGTCGTCTTCTCACAGTGGAAGGATGGACAGAAACACCTGTGGATGTTTTCAGATCTGAAGCAGCTTGATGTTCTCCTCTCTCTCAGAGATGAAAGCACTGTTTATCTTATAGGGATAGTTTTGATGGTCGACCAGGTCTTGCACGGTTGTTAGAAGGTCCATCATTTTTGAACTCCAGTTTTGACCTCCTTTGACCTCCTGCTTCCTTATCTAATATCTCGTCATAAATATCTCCTTAAAAATAAACAAATTTGGACTGGAAATGAAATAAGGGTGGTCTCTGACATTTGCACTGTACTTTGAGTTGGTTTATGACGATTGTGGATCAGAACTCTTTGTGGTCTTCAGAAGAATCAATGTTTGAGTTGCTCCTGAGAGTTTTCTGGTCTTTGTGTGCTGCTTTGAACAACAATGAAATTGAGGGTTGTTGTTTGTTTTGATATTTCTGTTGCAAGAAAGTAACATTTGTGTAAGAAACCTGACGAGTGATCAAATGTGAAATGCTTTGTGGGATTAGATTCGCTTAGCAACTTCTGGAGCACTCCTTCAGCCTAACCTGGAAAGGGTGTCTTACATTTCTATGTATTTTTGCCTCTTCTTTTTAAGGCTGCTTCCTCTCACGCTTCTGAAGCACATGGGTCGTTATTTATTTGCATATTTGCATTTATTTTCCTTTTGTGATCATTTTTTGTTCCATGTGGAACAAAGTCATTCCAGTCCGGATTGTGTGTGATTGTAAATTGATTGGAATTCTGTTTAAAGGGCTTGCAGGGAATTCCCAACAGTGAGAATTCAAGTGAGTATTGATGGGGAAAAATATAAAAAACTTTGCTACTGTACCATCTAATGTACACCAGCCCTCCTTGTGGGGCACAAAAAGACAATAAATCATTTGTTTCTTCTTTTTATGACTCATAACTAGATCGGAAAACGGCCTGACTGAAGAAGTCAGAGACCACCTTTCGTTTATTTAATGTCCAGTCAATTTAAAAGTAGAAGAAATCATATTTAAGAGAAAATTAAACAGAAGCCTCGTCGATTGAATATAGTTTTTTTTAGTATTTATTTTGTCCACTCTTTACCTTCATTACAGCTTCCATTCTTTTCAGGAGACTCACTTTCAGTCTTTCGTAGAAATCTGCAGGGATATTTTTCAAGACCGCCAAAGTTCAGTCTTAGAAGTTGGTTGCATTTTCTGCTTCTCATGATCTGTATAAACGCAAACACATTCAGTATTAATCTGACAGTGACGGTTTGGGTGGTCTACCTGCTTTTTGAAACTCCTCCTTTTTCCTGACTTTTCACTTCTTAGTGTGAGTGGTTTATCTTATAGCTAATCCTTCTGAGAAATATAACCTGAAAAAATGATGATCATCTTGTACTTAATAGCTGTTTTGACTTGAATTGAAGGTGGTCTCGGACTTTTCCACAGTGCTGTATGTCTGAAACTAGTGGGCGATATATCATCAAGGTGACGAATTCTATCACAGTTCTGTTTTTAGTGTATTTGATGGGTTCAGTTAGTACTTCTGGAAACACTGAACAACTGCATGAATCATAGAAAAGACCTATTTATAGATTTATACCGGTCATAGACTACAGTCCACTACAGGCAAATGAAATTAATAGATACATGTGTTTGGGATGTGATGTAGGTTTATACAGCTACATTAACACCTGAGCGATAGTAATGATATACGTCACAATAAGTGAAACAAATAAAACAAATATATAAACAACAATACACAGGAAAGAAACAGCTACAATGTGGATATTACATGGTCTTTTAAACATCTTTTGTAATATTTTAAAGAGTATTTGGACAAATGGGAAAGCTTATTCCATATTTTAGTGCCCCTATATCGTATTGAAAATTGACCTCTACAATTGAGCAATTTAGGAGGATGAAAATCTGAAGATTGACGAGTTGAATAAGGACGGATATTTGTCTCACTTAAATGTATCTTCTAAATACATTAGCAAATAAACAGGACAAATTCCCTCGTTTTGTCAAGAAAAATCGTCGTTTTTAACATGATGATAACATGCTTTTTTTAAATGATCAATGTCACTGAATTTTTTTGTGCTCAATGAACTGATCAGCTCCCCAACCAATCAGCATTCAGTGCAGTAAAGGGCTGCTGGAGAAACACAGAAAGATACTATTGAGTTTTCATTGATTTTTTTTTTATGTAATATGTCCTTCTAGTTTCCTAAACCTGAAGCACATCCCTGCCTGTGTAAGTAGAAACATATTTTGTTCACATTTCTAGCCATTTGGCTCCAGTCTCTTGCATTGATTGAAGACTCTCTGGCGCCCCCTAGCATTTCACAGTCATGTCTTTGGAACAGTGGGACGAACAGGGCTTTGTCCCAAAAGGTGCCCCAAGCCCTGTAGTTCTGCTTAAACTCCACACCCCTAGGTGACGTCAACAACGTGTGGACATACAGGGCAAAAGTCCTTGAGGGTGCAGGGTTTAAAAGCTTGCTTTTGGGCCAAACCTGTCCAATGTGCAGTATCTGCATGTGCAGCATGTGGCGAGATGATGTTGGTCATACTCCTCGTTAATTTGCTAATCTATATTCGCTCAATCCAGATTACATGCAAAACGCATCTTAATAACAAGGTAAATTAGTAAATGCATTTTAACTCACAGCTAAACAGACCTCTGAAGTAGTGTGTCATTCTGTTGTCAGTGTCTTGCCTGTCTTAGGAGGTCTGGGTCTAAGCTGGTCTCTTTAAAAGTCACATCCTGTGGTGAACAAAAATGCCCCAAAGCCGATTTGTTAAGTCTCGGGTACATTTTACATTTGTAGTAGTCGAAATATGTTACATACATCCCTGCTAGAAAAACCAGCATAGTCCAACATGGCTGCTCACCAGCAAGACCAGCATATGTTGTATTCCGGATGCTGGTACTCTGGACAACCAGCAAGGGCAAGCTGGGTGCCCAGCTAAACCAGCAACGGACCAGCAGTATTCGTCTTTCAGCTTTTTAGTTAACAACCTTGCAATTGTGATTGGAAGTGTTTCGTTTACCACAGGGCGCAACAGTGGAGAAGAAAACCAGCTTAGATCCATAGTTCTTAATATAAGCTTGACGCTGACTACAGAAGTTTATACCAGAGCCCAGAGATGCTCTACCTTGTCGAAATTCTGTAGTGCATATTTACGTAAAACTGTAGGCAGGACATTCTGATAGCCTAAATCACTGTATCAGAAAATGCCACCAGCAGTAAAACTACTGGTAGGATGTTGTGATAGCCTGAATTGTCTTATCAAAATCATAAGGGGGTAAGTATCAATATTAAGCTGAGTCTGTACAATAGGCCACTTCCCATTTCTCCTGTTAGCTCAAAAATACAACCACTAAACACTAGACATGTGTGAGTGAGTCCTCAAGGAATGGGAGCACACACACACACACACACATTTTCTAAGCCGCTTATCTTTCTGGGTCCCGGGGGACGCTGGAACCTATCCCAGCAGTCACTGAGCGGAAAGCAGGAAACACCCTGGACAGGTCGCCAGTCCATCACAGGGTGGAATAGAAGCAAATGGAGCTGAACGAACACACACACACACACACACACACACCATCTAAACCGCTTATCCTTCTGGGTCGCGGTGGGGTGCTGGAGCCTATCCCAGCTGTCATTGGGCGGAAGGCAGGATACACCCTGGACAGGTTGGAGCTAAGCAGCTAAAAATGAAAATTTAAACGTTTCTCAACATTTTTGTTGGACCTTCCTTTAATTTCGGAAAATAAAAGGATGTATTCCATTTAAATACAAAGAAAACTCACCCATATACTCAGTAGGGCAGTAGGATGCTAGCATTACTGCTACTGAGTGCTAGTTATCATTATTGCTGCTGAGTCAAAACCTCTTCTTATTTCCCTGTTATATCAAAAACAGGACTGCAAAATGCCTGAGGGCACCCATGACCGAGTCCTTAATGAATGGGAGTAAACGGCACTAAACAGCTAAAAACGAAAAGTTAAAATAGTTTCTAATCACTCGCCCAGAACGTTTCTTTAATTGTACGAAGTAGAAGGATGTACTTCACTAAAAAAAGCAAAGAAAACTCACCTGTGTTTCCTTTTGTCTCATTGGCTGTTCACGTTCACTGATGAATGTACATGAGGCGCCGTTTTAAACTGCTATAACTCGAATTCAAAAGCGTTTAAAAATATAACAGCAATGTTGAAATGTTTTATGCTATTCAGTGTTCAGTAAATGATGCTATTCTTTTATATCAAAAAATGTTTAAGCATTTATAAACTATGATTTTGCTCAAATGCTCCATCTCAACCCATTTATTTTGGAGCGCCCTCTAGCGTTTGAGAAACCTGGAAGACAATACAGAGTGGTAGTTCTCCTCTCTAAAAGTTCTCTGACTGAGTGCTGATTGGTTAGCTTTACTGCTACTGAGTGCTGATTGGTTGGGGAGCCGATCAGCTCATTGGCTGAGTGTCCAAATTGGTCCCCTAATCACTTTTCAATTAGAAAAATAGAATAGAAATCTGGATCACTATACAGAGCCGTATTATAGGGAACAGAATTTGCGAGGGGAGTAAATGATTTTGGACACTACATCATTTGCTCATCACTAAACCACTATAAACATCCTGCCACCTGTCCAGTATAACCAATGAGTTTGACTGCACACATGATAAGCTTACTTACATCAGTAACAGGTCTGAGGCCTGTGGAGACGCTGTTATTGTAGCTGGGCTCAGTGAATCTGCAAACCAAACAATGCAGTGCATTATGGGTATCCCCTATTCGCTAGGGTACACTGTTTGTACGCTACTTATTACAGTTCATTGTGGGGTTGTTTAAGTGCAGTAAATGTTTTGCACTATGTCTTTGGACACCGCTACAAAATGGTGGAACCACAAAAAAAGTGCACTATATAGTCAACAGGCCACAAATTTAGACACAGCTCTAAAACTGGAGCTCAAAAGCCCTTAAAATATATAACAGCAGTGTTGAAACTTTTGTGTTTCGTGTTCAGAATCTCACTGCAATCAGTTCTGTATAAAAACGATTAAGTATTTAGCACAAAAGCTCAATAGGAGCCCATTGATTTTGGACTCGCTCAGGAGCGCCCTCTAGTGTTCGACAAGCATGGAAGACAATACCAAATGGCAGTTCTCCTCACTAAACAACTTCTCAAGCCATGTTGGTCAGATAGCTGTAAACAAATCTTTTCTCTCTGATTGGTCCTCGTCTGTATTTCATTGAATTTTGGGTGTGACGCCGCTCCTGCACTGCTACATTAAAGTCAGAGACTGAAAAACAAAAGTACTTTTTTGCCCACCAAAGTGCTGCTATGTGTACAATTCTATATATGCATACTAGCATACGTACTAAATAGTATGTCAAAAATAGTACATCACCATTGGAGGACCCTTCATTAGTACTGTACTGTATATCATACAACAGTCAGTTTCGGCCACGCGAGCTGATTGGTTGAGAAGCGTTCTAACCGTGCTGTTATTTCACCATAACATCACGGGTTTTTTCACAAACACTGTATCACTCCGCTGAGACGCCGTTGCTAAGCAACGACTTTAACCGCTGTAGGAGACGCTCAAACCATTTGAACGTTTTTACTTCTTACTTTGGTCACAAACAGAAAATGGACACTTTTAAGATCACATTTGACCGACAGCCGATTTGGTCCGACTCTGAAGATGAGACGACACTAAATTCCCAAACTGTCGCCACCACTGAGCAGCTTTTCAGTCGGCAGCTGTGACAGAAGAACAGCTAAACAACCAGGAATCAGCCAGAAATGAACTCAATACCATTCGCCAAACTAAATGGGCTGTAAGATGCTTTACAGACTGGCTGGAACAAAACAACATTAATATTGATCCAGCAAAAAATGACAAAACTGAGCTAAACTTGATATTGCGGCAGTTTTATGGCTCAGTCCGTAGTTTAAAAGGCGAGGTTTACAGCCGGCTGTGCAGCGAGTGAGCGGAGTCCGTTACTCTGACGTAGCAACTAGCTGCTTGTTAAGGAACTATAATCTGGCGGAAGGAACTGCGAACATTAAAACATATTAAACGCCGCGTTCACGGACCAATTTATTAATTTCTTACTTTATTTATTTAACTGTTGTATGAATAGAACACTGGAGGTCTTGTGTTATCGTGAACATGACAGCCATGATGTTGTTTCGCGATAACACTCCCTCTCGTGTTCTGTTGCTCAAGCATATTGTTTTGGATGCGGCCATTGTCTTATATTAAGACTGTGACTATCTAATTCCATGGGGGACATGGCCCAAGTGTAGTTAGGACAAAAGCTGCTGTAGTCCACACTAAGTACACGTTAGGGCACTTGCAAGTGTCCCTTCGAATACCAAAATGAGAAATAGGATACAGCCTCGTGGTCCTTGCAAATGAGCACTGCAGGACTGCAACTGCGCCAGTAGGAAAAAGGCTGTATGAAGTGGGCCTGGCTACAATCTGTCATCTAAATCCCCCCGACTTACCTCTGACCTCTAGTGGGGAAAACCTGTCACTGACTCTCACTTCGGAAACTATGAATGCACCCACCAAACCAGAGTCAGTGCCTCAAACTGACGCGGGGCCTTGTTGGAGGAAGCTGTCTTCTGTCATGAACCCAAAGGCTGAGCAGTTCCTAACAGCCTTTAGTCTATAGGCAGCTTCACAGTTCATTTGGCTAATATGATAAACTTAAAGGGGAAGTCCACCAATTTTTCAAAAAAATTCTACATAATAAAATGGTTCCGATGTAAACAAAGTCATTCAGGGTGGCTTGGTGTGAAACGCTCCGTTCTAAAGAAACTTACCAAGTCAGAATTGTTCACAGTGGTGGTGATAGGAACCAGACGTCTGAAGAGTTTAATGCTTCTAAAAGATCCTGCATTGAAACCTGTTACATTAAATGGTTAGATGTATGCTGCCTGATGGCTGACACACTGTTTAGGACAGTTTTGGCTTAAAATGTATTGTAATCCATTCATGGTGGAGGGGTACAGACAGGGTGCAAAATAGTCCCTAAATAAAATGTATTTTTTCCGATTAACTGCTATTTTACCATTATCAACATTACATATAAAAACTCAGAAGGCGCGTGTAGGTTCACTGGTGGTTTTGGATAGATAAATAAAATAGATGTTTTTGTGTTGTAGTCAAGGTGACCCCTGATTCCCATCGCCACCACTGTAACGAATCTCAGTCTGCAGGTTTTTCCACAATGAGCCATTTCATGACAACATCTACTGAATTTGGGATTTTCTTTTCTTTTCTGACTCGGATTCATCTCACCATCTTACGACTTTATTAAAGAAATACTTCGTGTTTTCAACTTCATCTCTTCATCTGATGCATCCAACTAATTACCATAGACAATTTCCACACGTTTCCCTGAATTTAGAACAGAACTGAAACCCCACTCACTCAAATCTCACTTTACAGAACCAGCGGGCAGATCCTGAACTCTGAGAACGACCGTTTGAAATGTGACTGTATAATGTTAATTGTAAAACATAGTTCCGGTCCTAGAATCTCATTGGCTGAGCCACCATTGAGGCTGTACACAATATGAGCGCACCTATGACCGCCTCACAACAACTGAACTGAAATACTATTCTACTCTAAGGCTGCTTGCATTGACCACCGAGTGTGCTGATAAATTAAGAACCGTTTTTTGTTTAAACTGAGGGGCTGACAGCTTATTTTCTTAACTAGAACTACACTGGTTAGCTAGCTATCAGACTAAAATACATCATTAATATCAGAGGCTTTAATTAAAGTACTTATGATGTGATTCACTATAGAACTGCAATATAAAAGTCATATAAAAGAATGTCACTTGAATGCCTTATACACTTCAGATATCCGTGTTTCTACAAATAGTCCACTACTTGTCGAGTATGGATATGGTTGAATCCCAAATGACTATTTTTTAGCCATCTTAAGCACTGTTGTGGTCCAGGAGCCAGTTTTTAAGCTCCTACATAGTGCACTATGTAGGGAGCTGGGAGTTATTTGAGATTCAGCCCCAGCGTAGTAAGAGGGGCGCCGTTGGATTGGTGCTATATGAGACTCGAGGTGATAATTTGGTGACTAATAAGAGCTTCTAAAAGAAGGTTTCTGTTATGATACGTTCGTTATTATACGACAATAAGTTCATGAAGTGACTGCAGGACACAGTGGTGGGTGACCGAACACTCTTCTCCTCATTCAGCAGTCCATGGCTGCTTGGCACTTACACTCTACTCTAAAGGAACTACATTTCTTGGCGGAAGACTTGTCCATTATTGTAATTATAGTAAGAAATCATTTTCTAAAGTTGTGCATTTTATCATATTTAATGTTGACCGGCGTTTTATAAAAGCAATAAGCCACTCACGGCCGTGCGATATTGCGATTTTATTGCAATTTTATTACGGGTAAGGGTGCTCTTAGGCACGAAAAGCCTTCTTTCTTTTATCTCGTGGCTTATTGCTTTAGTCGAAACTCCAGCTGTTCCACTCTAACAGTACAGGTGTTAGGATGGCATAGACTGAAAAAATGTGCTACCAAAACTCTTATGACGTTTTATCCAACTTTACAACACTGGAGAAACACAGTAAAGAAGTAGTTCTACAAAAATGTGAGATTTATATAAACGTTTAACAGAATTCAGGAACTGCCCATTGACTGTTATAAGAGAGTTTAAAGTCAACATGTTGCCTGTTTTGTTTTGCCCTAAGTTCAGCGAAATATGTTGCAATTATTGACCGTTGTAATTGACTGTATGCTACATATGCAGCAGATAAAAATTAGGTTGAAACATGCTGGAATACACCTGTAAAGGGGAATTGCATTGATTTTTCAACACCTCTGCATGATTAAAATTTTAAAACGTAAACAAAGTCATTCAGAGTGGTCTGATGTGAAGTGGTTCATTGTAGAGAGAATGGTTCAGATTTCTTTACAGTGGTAGTGATAGGAACCAGGGGTCACAAATGTAGTAATTTTATTTAATATCCAGAACCACCAGTTAACCTATGTGCTTTCTGAGCTTTTGTATGTAATGGCAATGATAAGATGGTGAAAAGTTTCTTTGGTGACTATTATGCCGATTTAAAAACATACGTTAAGCTAAAATTTTCTTAAAGCTATCATAAAAAAATGTTTCCAAAACTGGCTGCGTATTCATACCTATTTCATGTCATAACTATGTGATGTAATTTTTAGGGTTTAAGAGAATTACACAGCTTTTTAAGAAAATTTCTACATAATTAAGATCCAAAATCATTCAGAGTGGTTTGATGTGAAGTACTCAGTCCGAGAGAACTCTTTTTACAACAGATTTTGGTGTAAACCATTTGTGTAAAAAAAAAAACAAACAAAAAAAAAACAAACTAACAAAAAACAAAACATTCATGGTGGAGGGGTACATGCATGCAAAATATTCCCAACAAATTTTTTGGCTCTTACACCATTATAAACAACACATACAAAAGCTCAGAAGACATGTTAGTTTGCTGGTCATTTGGATAGTAAATAAAATGGCTATATTTACTCTGTAGACATCATGACCTCTCACTCCTATCACCACCACCAAGTTTCTCTACAATGAACCATTTCACCTCAAACCACTCCGATTTTCTTTTATTGGAAATTTTGAAAAAGCAGTGGAATTCCCATTTTAACTGCAGACGTCTGTTTCCTGTCACCACCACTGTGAATGATTCTGACATTCTCTCAGGAAACTCTTTAGACCAGAACATTAAACATCAAACCTCTCTGAATTACCATCGTAACCATTTAGTTATGCAGAAATTTAGAAAAATTGGTGAAACTGCACTAAGAATATCCACCCCAATTCCTATTTCCATACTTTCCCCACATCTAAAAATTCTTCTCAGGAGAACAAATAGTAACCCCATACGCCCCCCCCAGCCGTTTCTGATCATACTTCAAAAGAAAGGGGGTAACAACTGAAACGTGAGGGTGCAGTTACACTTTAATCCATGTGTGTGAAACTGCCCACCGGTTAAACAAAAATGTAAACATCAGCAAATGCATTGTTTTTTTTTTTTTGGCCTACATCAGTCTGGTATGAACCTCTGGACTGGGAGGTCATGTGGAACTACTGTTAGAAGAAGCCAGACTTTCATAGGGATGTCTCCACCAACATTTAATTTGCACCTTTTTTTTCTTTTTTTGTGTCTGTTGCTTTTTTTGTGAAAGGAAAAAGGCAAAAGAAAACAAAAACAAAAACAAAAAAAGGTTAATCTACAAACTAGCAGGCTTTTCTCTTACCTCAATGAAAAGTTTCTAAATCAAAATCAAAACTGAAAATGTGTGAATGGAAGCAATGCATACACTTTCAGAGTCTTTGTCTGGACTACTGCTTCCCCAGCGCGGGGAGGCAGGAGGGGGAAAGGAAAAGGGGGTCAAAAAAGGTCAAAGCTAGTTAAGAGAGGGTTGACTGGTGACAACAATCCCCCGGTTATCTAGACAACAGTCTCACAACACACAGAGGTCGACAAGGGTTTGTTTTTTTTCTTGGTTTTTTTTGTCGTTTTTTTGGGGGGGATGTAAACTAGGACACAGATCCGAACGACTGTCCTGCTGCAGAGGTCGACGACGAGGGCGTGTCCACAGATCCCATCTTCCTACACTAACGTGCTAACATGCTAATTCATCCCTCCAGCGGACTGTCCATCTGAAGCTCTTCTCTGTCCACTGGCCTCCGGAGCAGCCAAATCCTTTGAAAGACTAAACAGGTGGTGGACAAAATCCAAAAGGAGGCGGGGGTTTGCGTTGTCAGTGCGAAAGCGGCTGGACTGAGGTGGCTTTGCTAACCTTCGCTAGCCTTGTAAAGCTCTTGGGGGGAGGGGGGGGTGCTTTCTTTTTCAAACAAAGATAAACAAACAAAAACATCTAGCCACACGTTTCAAATAGACTGGATGGTGCGCGCAAATGGAATGAACCACAAACATGGACCTATCTACCTACACTAGGTTCTCTACAGGCAGGTTCGACGGTCAAAAGGTGCTATGATGGGCTGCTGAGCTGTACGTGTGTCCGTGTTCCTGGGCGCCAGAGGTCGAGGAGGCCGAGAGCAGATTTCATGCTGACAGTGGGTAAAATATGTGCGCAGTCTGACATGATTAAGAAGAGAGAAAGAGAGGAAGAGACAGAGAAACAGCGGGACAGTCCTGCCACAAATCTCAGGTCAGCATCAGCGGTCCGTTGCGAGTGCCTAGTGTGAACGTATGTCATTATTATTCTCATCATCATTATTTTTAAAAACTGTCCTGTGGTCAGCATTCCGTCAACTTGAGTCTTTGTCCATTGGATTTCAAAACTCAGTTTGTGCTCTTTCGGTACACTGACAACCAAGTGCTGCCCCCCTGTGGCTGGTCCTGGAACAGCTGACGGTGGCACACCTCTGACTCACTGAGAAAGAACGCTGGCATCGTAGGATGGGGGGGACGGATATGTGAGAATAAAAACCAGACAGAGAGAGAGAGACAGAGAATATATACGAATATATAATACACATATCAAGACGAGAAAGGTGATGGCCAGAGACTGCAGCACTGGATTTGGTTTTTCTGATTTTGGCTGTGGTCAGTTTAGGAGGCTGGACATGCAGAGGGCCCAAAAAGTTGGGGGGTGGGGTGGGGATGGGAGCTTAACTCCCATAATGCATGGTGTTGCTGGGGATGGCCATAGGGGAGGCCATGGAGATGGCGGGCCCGCCCATGGTGAACTGGTTGGTGACGGGGTAGTAAGTGCTGCTTGAACCCTGCTGACCAGTCGCAGCTCCTGGTAAGACAGAAAAGAGAGAGGAGATAAGTTATGTGGGAAAATAAAGAGAGAAATTAACTGAACAAGAAAAAAAAATTAGTCACATTCAAAACGTAAGCTATTTTAGTCTGAAGGACCACTTTAGATCAAATGGGATTTCTGTAAAGCATCCAGTAAAGCTCATTAAACTCAACAGAACACTGTAATAAATAACCCGTTTCATTCCAAAATGCTGTTTACCTACTTCTAACAATTTGGGATATGAGTTTCTGAAAAACGAAATCCGCTGACAACGGAAAATACATTTTTATTTTTCTTATAAAGATGGTATTGATCATAACAGATTTGAAATTTGTGGAAAGCAACCGCCAGCAATCTAAATTCAAAACAATAATTCCCACTGAATAATTCACTTATTGGTCAAACTTAACCTGCCATCACATTTTAAACATCTTATTTTAGTCCAAATCATTTTACACGAGTTGGCGTAAAAGCAGTGTCCAGTCAATTAAGAACAACACTGAACAACAGAGAATGTGCTGGTGCAGACAATAACGAAGCTAGGCAATTAACAAATCTATAATTATGCATACATGGTATGAGGAGAAGCATACTCAAATAATATATATATAAACGTGTATATATATATATATATACACACATACATATATATACATACACACACACACACACACACACACACACACATATACATATATACACACACACACACGTATAAAAAAAATAAATAAATTTGGGCATGTATATATATTATTTGGGTATGCATCTCCTTGTACCAGGTGGAATTACTCAATTACCCACGAGAAAAACACAATTCATTCCCTTTTATTTGACTTCTTTGACTTTGGCTGATTCAATGTTTGGGATAATTGCTCTGTCAATGCTAATAGTTTTTCTACATTTTAAAAAAGGGTCAATTTAAGTAATATCAACATTGATTTATTTTCTCAGTTCTAATTTTTTTGAATGTATATCGTGGTCTATGATGTGTTTAGCAGCAAAAACAAACAAAAAACAAGTGATGTTTCGCCTAGGGATACACAATCGGGCAACAGCAGTGTTCTTTGTGATGTAAATAACGTGAGGCAAGTAAGTGCACTTGCACTGTATTTGAATGCTGACTATTTAGCACAACAAGTCATGCATATATATATATATATGATTTTGGTACAGACATAGCAGCGGCATTCAAATACTCCATAAGTGCACTTACCTGCCACACCTGACTTGGAGTACAGCCAATTCTGATCTCAGCTAATCCAACTGGGTATTCCTACTGCCTGCTTAAGTTGAAACACTTTTTTAATATTGACATATTAATGTAACAACAACAACAAACAACAATAATAACAATCATCATCACCTTCACCATCTCATGGACCTGGCCTGTAACTTACATTAGCGAGCTGAAAGATTCGCCACCAGGGATCGGTATTGACGCTCTAGTAGCTTTTAGTGCTTTATAAGAGTGGTAGCATGCTGTTGTTAGGTTCAACATGTTTTACAGGATGCTGATATTACGGCTGTTATTTGTTTTATTGGTTGTAAAATGTTTTTTTTTTTTAGGAGAACGATTTACTGCTGGGTCAGTTAGCTTCACTGACCCTTGGGTTGTGTTTGTGTTATTAATTTGGCCGTGACTCCAAAGGCTCGTTGTCTATGTACAAAAGAACTGAACTTATTTTGCAGTTTGTGTATGCGCATTCTCGTTCTCGACTGACGGAGCTGTGCTGATGAAGATGAGTCACCAACAGTTATCATGAAATCATTTACAAGGACGCAAATACAGGCAGATGTACCACTGTGAAGCCAATACTAGTTGTACTCTAGAGGGTCTAATGAGAGGTTTGAGCAAATGCAAAGAAAAAGCACTGAACATGCAATGCTGGTAGATAATGATATAATCAATATTTCATTACATTCAGCACTGTGATCTTGTTTAATCAAGCATATTTTGCCGTTCCTTCAGTAGGTATGACCACTAAGGGAAACAATGGTCCTGTATCATTCACAGTTATTTTAGAACAAGCGATTTAGCTACAGCACAAATTATGTGATTGTACTCCTGTTAAGCTATATCAACAAGCAAAATCCACAATGCCTCCTTCACAAACCAAACTAAAGTCCACTCACTATGTAATGTACAACTGCAGGTATTTTGCATACACCTGAATGATGTGAAGATAACTCAACAGCCAGCAACGTATCAGCAGTTAGTGTTTGCATAGATGGAGCCAGACTAGAGGCCCTGTACACTGTATCTCTAGTAGAGCCTTGTCTCTAACATGGATTAGCGCTGTAATCAGGCCTAAAGCTTTGGTCCACACCTAGATACAGCCTGAGGACCTTCTGCCCTGATTCTGTCTGAAAAGGATAAACTGACCCTAATGACCCTAAGTGCGAATAAAACCTGACATTACGGCGTTGCTTAAATTACTGACACTTAATAGTGTCTTAATAGTGACACTAATAGCAGTCATGGTATAATTCAATACTATTTTTTATTCTTGTTAAACGTGCTGATACAGCAAGTCTTCATCTGTTTAGTCCCTAAAACTCTATTACACAAAAATGATTACATATAACATTGAGCATGAAAATATTTTAAAGTATAACAAATATGTTAAAAGTATCACATCCTTGTAAATGCATCAAACTTAATTCCTGCACATCCATTTTCTCACAAGCGTGGACTCGGTGTGAGCTAAATTCTGTCAATAACACGTGTGGGTGCCTCCAGAAAGCCAGATTTAAAGGAATGAAAGTTGACAGGGAGAATAAAGCAAGGAGGAAAACTAAACCTGGTAAAATCTGTTGAAAGTGGGAAGCGAACTGTGAGATCCCTGATACGAAATCTGAACCTGACCTGAGCTTGACACATACGAGATCTCCACATTAGTGTTTTTACATCCTTTTCAAAACGTTCTCCATCCACACAAACACACAGACTGGCGACACTTTGCTTGAGCATACCTGACCCAAGCAGTTTAAAATCACCACAAGGAGATTGGTGTGGTGCATGTTAGCGAAAATAGCCAGACTAAGATATAAATACAAGCCTGTGACAGAATGGCCCTCTACTTCCTCTTAAGAACTGTTCTGTACAGGGGTGAACTATTTAGTCTGAATCAAGACATTAACTCCGGACACCTTCTTATCATCAGCCTGCACATAAACAAACTGGCATTAGCTGCTTGAACGAGGCTGAAGTTGTCTTATCTGTCACAGCAGCAGACATGAGCATAACGCTTTGAACGTTTTTAACACTTGGACAATGATTGTAGTTTTTATACAACAGTTATTATTCAGTGTTTTATGCTGTATGAATAGGGCAGCGGTTTTTAGCAATGTGGGCCATGGTGGTACTGCTAGGGGGCTACTGGCCATCAAATTTTATCTATTTTTTTAAGCAAAACATAAAATATAGACAACTTTAAACTGAAATATTGTTAAATATTGTGAAAATAGATGATTAAGATAGCTAGGTATGTTTATTTTTTCAGTGAAAGTCAAAGTAAAAAGGTCTCTTTTTTGATAGTATGGAATTCATCTATCATTGATAAATGGATGCAAATGGATTTTTTTTGGTGTGTAATATGTTATGTGAATATGCAACCAAGTGAGATTCAGCAGGCTCCACTGACTGTGTTATATTTGCATTTTAAACAATTGTGTCGGTTTTATCTTGTTGTGGGTCCTGGAAGCTTTGGCAGTCAGTTGTGTTAACCTCAGAGTTAGGGTCTTTGTTTTTGACTGTGCATAGCAGCTGTTTTTGTTTTTCGCCTGAGAGTCCACACAGTCGGTTAAGTTTAGCGCATTTCACTCGTCCTCCATTTCAGGTTAATTGAAGCTGTTATCAGGTGACCATCAGGAGCCAATTACAGAATGATAAATATTTCAAATCCAGCTTTAGAGAACATTTTAAAAAGATGATTTCAGTGGTTTAAAATCCCGTCCCTGTTTGGATGCAAAGCCAAAACAAAGACGAACCTTCGTGAACAGGTTTTCAAATGTATGTGCATTAGCGTGGACAAGGGCAGTGAGAGCAAGAGGGCTCAGACTTACCCTGGACAATTCCTGTGCTCATGATTGAGCCCATTCTGGAGTGAGTATGGTTCACAATCCCCGTGTTCACTAGGAAAAACACACAAAATGCTAAAACTCTCCATTTCAACAAATTGTTAAAAACAAAAAAGGCATGAAAGGTGACCTAGTCCAATACGTGTATCCTTAAATAAAGACAAAAATGTTTACAACAGAACTATACAATATTACAAATCACAAATTATGTGAATCGATTATAGTCATATGCAAAAGTCTACGTATCTCCATCAAATTACGTTTATTGATTTTCTGAACAAAAAATAAGTTAACATCTACAGTGAACACAAGTTTATTTGTGGAATCTAACATATTAAAAAATAATAAATAAAAACAGTAAATAAACAGTAACAGTGCTTTAAAATGTGGGGAAGTGTCTTCTCTGTATATGTTAACTTAGTTTCATGACAAAACATGCCAATTGACCAGGGGAGCCCAAACTTTGCATATGACTCTATTTAATGAACATATAAAAATTCAAATCAACTTATGTTAGCTATGTTAAATCAATATTTAATGGTCATTCTCTGTAGGGCTGCACAATATATCAGTTCTTAATCATTACTGTCATACTGGTCTTTACAGTCCTGACATTAGAAGGCTATAATATACAAATGAGCCTCTAACCAATTACAGAGTGCGGTGAGCATCCTGACCAATCACAGCACCAGATGAGTTTGTATGTATGTTTTGATGAATCAAGATATTTATGTAACCCAAGAAAAAGTCCATTGTTTTGCTTAAAAATAATGCAGGCTAGTCTTCAACCACTCCACATTACTGATTTATTAGTATATACTAAGTAGGGCTGGGCAATATAACAATTATATTTATCGTCATAAATTGTCACAACATGCTTCTCTGAGTATACTGTGGAGATTGTCAGCACTTAAACGACACTTCCCAAGTGCATGTTTGATGACAAAGAAAGTGTAATTAGGCCTGTCTGTGAATTATTGAATACAAACCATATTATTAATAATTTTTGATAGTATTATTAAATGTTGTACTACTTTGTACTACTTATCAAATGTCAGAAAAAAATAAATATTGATATTATGCATTGTGAAAACTTGAAGTATCATGAGACATCACATTTTTGCCATATCGTCCAGCTGTAATTGTAAGCTATATCACAATTTTAGTTAGGACTGATAACTTTATGGTATTAAATATAGTAAAACATTTATTGGTATTTCTGGTTTAAGCCATGCCCACTTTTGTCTTGGAAATCAAAAGAAGGTACAGAAAAAAAAAGCACTGGTCAGGAATCAGTTTAAAAAAAAATTAGGTATCTGCATTGGTATCAGTACTGATAATGATACCTGGCCCTAATTAAAATACAATAAACTATAATCCCAACACTGTCCATATTGTGCAGTCCGAATTCTGTTTGCTCATCTGCGTGTACATGTGGTGCGTGTGTGCGTGCGAGTGCGTATCCGTACGTGCATGCGTGTCTGTACCAAGGGGGATGAGGTTGTTGTGGGAAACTGTAGAGCCACTGCCGCCAATGACAGTGCTGAGGTCATAGGCTGTTGGCATCCCTGAGAAGAGAGGGAGACAAAAGAGAGGGGGCAGATGAAAAAACAAACAACCTTAACACACATCAGGCCCGACTGAGACACATATGGAATGCTGGGAGTCTATTACTGAGCTTACATGGTACAGTTAAAAAAATCTAATACTGGAGGGAAAAAAGCGACTCCTAGTATGTTCGAAGGGCAAATTTGCAAACATCGAACAGCTTTCTTTTTTAGCAATTATCAAATCTCTCACAACAAAACAATATTTATTTTTTTTAAGCTGAATTATGCCAATATTCAGCTTCTTTTCTTTCCAAAATAATGTAATGATTTTTTAAATAAAGTATTTAAATTAGAATGTATCCAAATATTTGACAAACAAACAAGGGTAATATTTGAATTTCCCAAGTATTTTTATTCTTTCCAATTTCTCTGTTTACTCTGTATCCATTGTCCATATGGGTGGCCGGATTGCACTTTCGTGACCACCTCTTGACACACCCCATAACAGTCCAGTTTTAGATACGGCGCAGGCACATCAGACTATGCCAAGTTAACACTAGAGTCAGAAGACAACACATACATGAACGACAAATTAGGGATGAGCTTGGCTATTTGAAAGTATAGATAATCTGAACATCTTCCACATAAAAGGCTTTAAACCATGCTAATCAAACCCTGTTTGTTTGGCCAGTTCAGACTACTTACAGGCTAAGGGGCAAAACAATCATCCTCAGAGACAGGCTTTAAGTTTAAACATATCACAAACAATAGCTGAAAAAAAAATGTAAAAATTGTTACACTACTGCGCTACACGCATGTTTTTACGTGAACCAAATTTAGAGTAATAGCAGCAATGAAAAAAATTTGCTCAAAAATATCAAACGCTAAGTATCAAAATACCTATTGTATTGTAACAATGTCTTTAAGTATTGCGATATTATATATTTTGCCATATAACCTACCCCAACCCACGTCCTGCTTATGTCAGCTCATCCTGAGTGAAAGTGTGCATGTATGTTAGAAGCAAGTAAAGCAGGTAAAATGTGCATCATCAGTGGTACAAACTTAGAAACCACTGATGTGATGGGTCTCAGTACAGTCTACCAGTATTCAGTGGTAAGGAGGGGTGTGTGTATGTGTACCTGACACAGCCATGCCTTGGCTCATGCTATAGGCCCCCCCAGAGTTCCACATGTTCTCAGAGGGGGAGGTGTAGTGTGAGCCTGGTGGGGGGTTAGGGGTGGTGCCTGTGTACCTACAGAAACAGATACACAAAAGGATTAGAGGGCAATCGTCTTATTCTCATAAATCTGCCACTATCAGTCCCATATTTTGGGTGCATTCGGACAGTCCTCATAAACTCGTTAACAGGTTTACATGAAGAAACTTCAACAGCTGACAGTTGTAATTACAAGAGGTAAACCCAGGTAGATTCCATGTAACCTCAGTTTACACAATCAAATGTTCTAGTATTTTGTACAGTGGAAAAACAGCCGAAATAGCAAACTTCTACATCATACTGTGTATAAACTGTAACACTGAACTTCTGCTATGAAGCTTTTTCTTTTTTGCATAGTGAATTTATTTTTCCATCTCATACAGACACTGTTAATGTGATGAATTTTTCAGCTGATAAAACACCAACTTAACACCTGAATGATTCGTTAGTGCCAACTCACCTGAAAAACGGGTTCTTCAGATCCAGCAGGTTGCTGGACTTGGAGCCTGTCTGATCCACTTGAGCAACAATGCTAATGTCATAGCTTTGCCTGAAAGAAACACATGATGCAAAAAGCAAACATGATGCAAAAAGTCAAATTTACCCAGTTTCAAATACTGAACTACTGCAAAGAGCACACGTAAATCAATGTCTTACATCGAACCATTTGCACTTTGATGTTTATTAAAATGCATTTTAAGAGAAAAGGCTCCGTTTTGTGAAACTTAAAGTTCCACATACGCTTGGGGTCTCAGAGAAAGTGGTAAAAGCTCACCTCTTGTTAGCGATGAGGACAGCCGTGCCCGACATTGTGTCTCCAGCCTTGGCAAAGAGCGGCGACTGCAACAGACAGCGAACCTGATACCAATGAGTGAGGGGCTCTGTAGGGGCTGTGGAGAGCCACACTGTCATCCTGCCCAGTGTAAAAGTGTGTGTGAAAAAAAGAAGAAAGAAAGAGAAAAAGAAAAAGAGTGAGTTGTTGGAATTTAGACAGCAGACAGAAATCTATCACATGACAAAAACTCAAGCTTTTATTCGCGTTTATACTGTAGAGCCATAACAGTTAGTCTATTATCAGTCAATGACACTGGTAATGAAAAAACGTTGACATGCTGTAACCACTCTAAAGTGCTCTACAGATGTGGTCCTCCTGCCAGCTGGCAATACAAAAACCAATAACCTTTATTCTGATGTGCTGTCACACTTTGTTAGAAGGGGCTTTTATTTTGACACACTGCAGTGCTTTGTAGAGAAATACATGATGTACCTCACGTTTGCAAAAATAAATAAATAAATAAAATGCTCATTTCACCTCCTTAAACAACAAGTCTGCATGTAATGTGATCATTCATAACTATAAGCTGTATCTTGAGCACTGAGTGAGAATTTAAAGTGCATCACGTTTCGGAATGACATTTCTATTTTAGAGGGAATTTGTCCAAGAAACAGCATTGACAGTGGATCAGTCACGTCTGGCAAATACCGTTTACTAAGTTTAGTACGCTGTGCCGATCCAGTGAACCAAATCAGTGCAACATTAGTTCATAATGGGAACAAACCTCTGTATACAACTTATTCATTTTGGTATGCGAAAGCCCTTATAAATAAAATGTATAAATAACAAATGAAATATTGTGAACATTTTTCTCCGAATGTCACTGATACGGGGGTGCTGTGAAAGGTGCTATGTCCACACTACTCCTCAACAAAAACTAATCAGCGCTCTCCGTGGTGACAGGATATCAAATTCAGAGAGCTTTCTTAAGGTCTCTGTTTTATAACCGCAACACTTGGTGCATTTAAATCAGCCTCAGATGACTCAAGGGAAAAACAAAACAAAAAAAAGCTCTGAAATGGTTCATTACATAGAAATATGATGTTCTGAGTGCACTTACACAGATCCCATGAACGCCACATCAAACCAGAAGGCCAGGCCATGCACCAGCCCTGAGTGCATCATGTGAAACTTGAATGGGATCTCTATCCTGAGAGAGAAGAAACAAAAACAAAAAAAATACTTCATTCTAGAGCTTATTCAATTCGGTCTGTGAAACTGAAGGGCATGCTTGCTTAGTATCGATATTAACTGAGATTATTTGATAAATCAGACATGAAAACTTATCAGTAGAGAACAATGGTGGCATTGTTCCTCTGAAAACAGGAATAACCGCTGTGGAATTATTTACTTCACTCTCACTCATCACCTGAACTGCTTTTCCTTTTGTGTCACTGGGGGGTTAGTTCAATAACTGCAAACAGTCACGTTCAAACACTACATGCTCTTCCTATTGACATGTTTAAAATAAATTGCTGCTTAGGTTAAAAGATCAATGTGTACGAAATTTGGCAGACATCATCTCGAGACCCCACATCCATTATAAATCCAGGTCATTTGTGTTGTACAGTGTTGTACTGGCTCCATAACAGCAAACCCTGAAGTACTTTGTAGACTGTCCCTAATCTCTCATAGTGATTCACATAAATGAGAACTCAGATGAAAACTAAATTGATGCTGATTTTCTTGGATGTTATCAATCACAATTTACACTTATTACCACTAAAAGCTATTATCGAAAGAAATTAAAATATGTGAAAATGAAAAAACTTCACTGCTTGTGAAACACAGCTCTTTTCATGTTTCGTTCCAAATGGGTCATAAAAATTAAACACCACATATCTGTGTGTTGGCCAAATAATGACCACGATATGCTGCTGGGCTTTTTTTTTGTCTCTCTTGGTTATGCTCAGATAAATAAGTTCTCCAACAGATCTACAACACCTGCTCTGCCTCCTTCTAACAAATTAAACCCCAAATATCTTAACCTATGAGGTCTTCAGAAAAAGCCCAGTCATTTGAGTGTGGGTGTGCCCACAGCATAAGCCACACCCCCTAACCACCCACCTTACCCTGACAGGACATATCCAAAAGCCTGATTGTTCACAAGAGATGGTGAATGAGAGATGCTCGGAAGAGTGTGAGGGGTGCGATACAATTTTTTTTGATAGTCTAAAACAGTTAAACCCTTAACATCACATCACGAGTGATAACTCACTTATAAAGGTCTTCCTCTTTAGCGTCTAAAAAGTTGACTGTGTATTTCACGGATTTGGCCATCAGGATTCGGATGTCGAACGTGTCCTGAAGGAAATAGAAAAGATAAAACGGTAAATCTTCAGTGTAACATCAGTGAATAATGAGGACACAGGAGAAATGTGTAAGGCCTCCTGTCAAGCGCTGAGCCACTGAAAACGTGTAGTCAGGCTCAGCTCTCGCTCAGAGGGACTCCGTACTGCCTGCGCCTAAATGCTGAGGAGTCGCCAGAACAGCGACACCTACAGCCAGGCCAGTGCAGCTGCAGCTCACTGTTCCAGCAGAGTAACACTGCCTCAGGCACCAACACACGCCTGCACAGCTGACTACTGCTGAATCAAAACACGCACTCAAACTGAAATATGACTGTTGTAGTTTATGCTATAACACACTTCAGTAACATTTTCATGTAGGTTCACCATTAGATGTTTAGAGGTAAAGTGAGTTTTACCTCGCTAATGTTCAAAAGGGGAATTCCACCAATTTTGTATAATTTCAGAATATTTTAGCAGTTAAGATGTAAACGAAGTCATTCAGAGTTGTTTGATGTGAAATTCCTTGTTCACTGCAGAGAAAACTTACCAACTTATTTATCTTTGTAGTGGTGAAAGGAAACAGGGGTCCCAATGTCTACAGTCATTGAATGTACTATCCAAAACCACCAGTGAATGTGTCTGAGTTTGTATTTATAATGCTGATGGTAAAATAGTCTGCAAAAATAAGTTAACCTGAAAAAAAGTGTTTTTTTGGGGCCAAAAGCTTCTCAGAAGTTTCACAGAATTGTCACAAACATCAGGCAGTGTATTCATTTTCTATGATAACTTTCTCCTTTGAGGGAGATTTAGAGGCACAAAACTCTTCAGACGTCTGGTTCCTATCACCACTACAGTGAACAATTATGACTCGGGAAGTTTCTCTAGAACAGAGCATTTCACATGACATTGGTTACATCCTAATTATGTCCTTCAACTGGTGGCAGAACATCGTACACGGGTATGCAATATTATAAAGAAGGACTTGGCAGATGGCTTTTGATAGCTACTGGGGTACACAGAGCCAAAGCTAGCCCCAGTCATGGCCCGGTCTTGATAGTTTTAACATGTAATGAATGAGAAGTATAATGTTAGAACTTGACTACAGAACTTTTAGTAGCCATTCATTATATATGCCCCCAACTAATTTGTATTTGCTCATGTAATTAGGAACACATTAAGGTTCGATTTTAAGTTTCATTTCATATACCTGGCCCTACCTATCAGCACTAGGTTCTGCAGTTCATACAGGGAACACTTTTTAATATCTTGGTGCATTAAAACAGAATTCAGCTGATGTGTACGCTAATATCAAGTATTTTACAATAGCTTCAGTCGTGGCTCAGCCAATCCGATTCCAGAACCAGAACAATCAGTCTTATACTTGATATTTTCGATAGTAACCTCAGCAGTTGACGATTAATTGCCAACTAATGCAGTCGGTTGCCAGCCAAAAGAATTTGCCCGAATTTGCATCACTACTCATTTTTACACCCCTAGTTTTATCAAATGGTTCTATGATGTGTGCCTGACACTCTTCATAAAATCCCTTATTCCTAAACATCAGCAGCAGCAATCTGGCTTCTCTTTCCTCCCAAGTGCACATTCAACAGCACTGCACAGAACAAGCCTCATGCCCACACGCACTCTATTTAAACTCAGCCTCCACAGCCGGCCATTAAAACAGTGACTACATCCAAAATTTACACACAAAGGGTAGCATACGCAGGATATTTATTAGACTGAGACAGCACTGGGCGAACAGAATGAGACAGAGCAATTTCGCGTGTAATCCCGTAGAAAGTGGCTTAAAAAATAGGATCTGAAATTTGCTCATTAATGAGACCAAAAAAACTGTTTTCGTTATTTAAGACGATGGTTAAGCAGACACCATTTTCCCTGCTCTCTTGTACTGCTCATCACTGATGTGTTCAAACACCACTAGCAAACTAGACAGGGTTGCCAGATTGGGTAGGATCACTCAGATTAGCATTTAATACTATTATCCTTATTTTCTTTCTTCATTTTTTTTTTTACCTCAATGAATTTTAGTTAAGTTTTTTATTAAAGCAATTTATGGAACAGCACAAATGCAAATTAGTCATAGCTTTAGGTAAAAATAGTAAAAAGAAAAACAAGAAAAATAATTTTTCCATTCAACCATAAAAATAAAACATGTTAGGGTTTTTCGTATTCTTGTACAGTAAATATTCAAGACAATACTTGATAGATTTTTTGAACATTTAAATATTTGATAGCTGCAGCTATTGGCCATTCATACTGAGAAGTTGTGAACTCATCCTGTTTAATGGAACTTCAATAGCAAAGGTGAATGTGTGCGTCCCCACATTATCAGTAAAGGTAAATCAGTAATGTACTAGGCTTTGAGTGTGAAAACACTATTTCTTCACTTACCACAATGGGCTGTCTGAAGTACTCGTCTACAGCAGCTCCCCTCAGTGCAGACAGATCCACCCCGTGGAAAGATGGCTGATACCTGAAATGCAAACATACACACAGTGGAAGATATACAGTGTTACAATGAACAAATGTCAGCTGTCACCAGCCAGTCTCTCCTCATCAGGAAATCCCAGGTAACAGAGTAAAACATCAGCAATATTTGTATGATACTGAGTGCTGTATTTAACATCCAGCAAAGTTTGAATAAAACAGACACAAGACAGCAACGTCATAAAACAAGCTTAAAAACACTGATCAGACCTATCTGAGAACTGCCTGGACACGGCCTTCGTATTTTAATGAGCATGTTTGATTGACATCCCTTTCTCCAACACTCCCATTCTTCTACACAGCTGATTGTTGTTACTGTGTCGATTCACTAAAAAAACATTATCTAGCTTTTATGTGGAGACAAATGAGCCAGCTTGATAGCCTCTTAGGTCTGCTTTCGCTTGGTTGTTAGCTTTCACTCTCTAATTCTCTCCGACTTGAACAGAAACCGTGAGGGAACAGTTCTGTTGAAGTTGTGTGGGCAGGACTACCTATATTAGTCTTGGGATAGGTGAAGTTAATGATTAATAGGACACAGTTTTTACAAATTGAGTACCCACAAGAGCAAGATTTACCTAATTAGAAAAAAAAAAATTGCGTTCCCTGGGGCCTTAGGCGTTCTCTTATTCAACAGAATGTTCCTTCTCTCATTCTTTCTCCTCTAGGGGTGCAAAAGGTGCAATCCTGCTCTAATTTCCGGAATGCTAGAATTGATTACAACTAATTATAATAACTTCAATAAGTACTCAACTGTTTGGCAAAAATAGAATTAACATTATTTTCAATCGTATATAATTTTTTAGCACCAAAACAATCCAAGCTAACTGCGGTGAACTAAAATCTACACTTCTATTCTCTGCTCGAAGATCCTCACCAGAAGTTGGCCTTGGTGAACTGCTCCATGTAGAGCTGCTCGTCTGTGAAAGGAGCGAGATGGACGTCGGCAATGGTGGGAAACATTTTACCTGCACAGAGCGGAAAAAAATATCAGCATATTATTACAACGAACACTGCAACACACATACTACATACTTTAACTCACATCTCTACTACTAACCATTAGGCTTGAGGAACTTCTTGGCGTGCAGGTAGCTCTCCAGCATCCTCTCGTTAAACAGCATGTAGCCCATCGGCTCAGAGATGATGATGTCCACCTGTTCAGGTAAGGTCACCTCCTCCACCTTCCCTGGGATTACTATCACGCGCTCTGTCAGTCTGTTACTGTTCACCAGCACCTACGCAACAGACAGTAATGATATACTTTTTTTTTACCCTGCATGAAAATATGAAGTTCCTGAACTTAACATAAAATCTGGCAGCTTGATGCTACATTAACAATCAGGGGAGGGAACAGTCAACATGATACAATACCACGATATTGTATTATTATATTATGACACGACTGAAGATTTGTAAGATTGGTAATATTATAATATAATTACTGTGCTGTGAAATATTGCAGTATCAAAGTTATTACTTTTCACTGTAAATTATTCCACCAAAAGAACGTTTCATGAAATTTACATATATATGAGCTAAACAGAACTGTCAAGCAGACAAATCAACACTCAAAATTTACATATTTAGCTGTTTTCACCTGCAAAATAAAAAGACTTTTAAAATAGGTTTCATCCATTCATACTTAACACATACTTGGGAAGGACCAATATGGGAATTATAAACCGATGATGATTCTCAGTATTTTTCATGTACATGTCTGCTAATGCAGATCAATAAACATTTATAAAACGTATCTACCTGCACTGAAAAAAATAAAAAAATAAAGATATTTTAACAAACATTCTGTGGCTAAACATTGTTCTTCCAGAATACAGTAAATGTTGAAAAAATTCATTTTGAAATATCTGAACGTCTCCCTACCTTATCTAGAACATTTTTACAAGAGCAAGTGAATTTAACAGTTAAGGTCTCACCCAGTTATTAAAACTGGAGTACTGTGGAAGTATTTTGAATTCCAGTGCGTGTTAAGAGCATTACACTACACTGTCCAACAGTTCCCATCAATAACTTCATTCACCAGAACTTTATCTCAACTGGAAGACACTGTAATGTCTTGATAATCAGGACAAAAAGCGCATTTTGGTAATGTAGGTGTTTAACAATGACATTAACAAACAATAAAAATATTTATAATATTACAATAACAAGACTTGAGCCATTACATATTGATACCATGTTATTAAAAATATCACAATATTATACAGTACCATTTTTTTCACCCATCCTTAGTCATATTGTGTGATTACATAAATAATGCCCCCTGGTGTGGAAATTATATTTTTCGCCAAAGAAAAGTGCGCAATAAGTCGTACCTCTGCATGCTGAGCCATGGTACTCGCCTCCACGGCATAAACTTTATGTGCGCCGGCCTGAGCTGCAAAAAAGGAGAGAATTCCCGAGCCACAGCCCACATCCAGCACAACCTACAGACAGACAAGGGGGTTTGGAAGGGGAGAGAATAAATCAGTAACTAAAAAAAAATGTTAAAAGTGTCACTTGATCTGAATCTACCACATCCTTACTGCAAGATCAATCCAATAATAAGGATGTAAAGACAAACAGTATAGAAAAACCGTTAAAATGCCCACATGAAACAGCATATGGAGATGTAAAACTGCCACTGATAAGTCCGTCACTCTCTTCTAAGTGTCTCATTTTACTCTCTTTCATGAAATCTAGGTATCTGGGTGGAGCGTATGAAAGTAAAGTGGGCGAGAAGGGGCGGGGCTTATTACATGGGCTACACACATGAGCGAAAGAACAGCATCATTTTAAATATCTTGGATAAAGAGAGTTTGTGACTGGTCACCAAAAACAGATGTGTTTGACGTTCAGTTGAAGTCAGTAGGTGTTTGATATTCTCTTGCATTGCATCATACTTGGAAGTGATGTATGTAAGGTGTACTGATTACATCAATCCAGTGTCAAAAATCTGAAAAAGAAAGTGCATGAAACTACTCATAAAATCAGATTTTATAGTGATTACCTCCCTTCGCTCTGAGTGTCATCTGGTGTATTTATATGACCCAAACCAATCTGTGCAGTACAGAATTAGAGCTCAGTAGAATCAAAACACAAGATATCCTAAATCAAATCAAATATGGATCTCAATCAAAAAATCCAATTCAACCTGGAAATATTATATACAGATTCAATGGTGAAAAGATGCCACTTGGTAATTATCTCATCTTTTAATGCTTTAAGTAAATATATAAATAAATAAATAAAAAAATAAATAAGGATGTGACTAGCTGAAATATAAAAAGGCAGCTATCCAGTGTTACAGCTTTACAGAACCAGCATCAGAATAAACAGAAGCTTTTTGAATAGACACAAACGACATCGCCTGGGTGCTGAAAGAGAAATCAACACACCTCAATCCAACCTAATCAATCATTAGACTGGATACTCAGCAGAGCTGAGGCTGCAACTCAGCCAGAGTAAAAACACAAGCTATGATATCATGAAGGACAGGTCAACAGCACGGAAGCAAGCATTGACTTTGCAAAAATATTTTACAACTGACCAGAATATTGCAGTGGTGTACTGGTGCTGTATTTTAAGACCCAGTCACACCAGCTTGTCAGTCAAAAAGCGCATTTATTTGAGTGGTCTTTGTGAGCGGTTTCGCACTGTGGACTTGAAGAATAAACATCACATCAAGTTCAAATTTGGTGAACTTTGACACGTAGCGCTACTGCTTATTTTAGCGGTATATATGCACAACATAAAGTATTTCTTCCTGACTACCCAAAAACAAATTCACAAAATGAGAGACTGCACGATACGCATTACGTTAGGAGACTTTCAGCTGGTAGAAATATTTATACTTTTAATGTGTAACACACAAGTAATCCAGCTTGCTAACTGCTAGGAAGCCTCCTTGGTGAAGTACTGCAGCAGACACCATTCACACCACAGCCACACCAGTTATCTACAACTCAGTGCAGCACTATGCTCTCACAAGTATATCTGTATATAGCTGCTGAACAAAACCTCGCAAAATGATAACTTTACAGGAGAAGCAAAAACATTTTCACATGTAATGGAAGTTAATATTAAAAGCCCTTTTTTCAGTGTACGTTTTGATTTTTATTGGTATGTTAAACACAAAATTTTAACATAACACAACTGAATACACTGGAAAGAAACTGTTTTTGTGCATCAGCACCGATATATACCGGTATAACTGTGCTGACTTTTTGTGGTTTTACTGTTTAGGGTTCATGCTTACACCATGATTATTTAAACACTGCTAGAAATAAAGGTACACTTTTTGTTCATCAAGGTACAAACAATGTAAAAGTTCCCTCAAAGGTACAACAGTGGTTTTAAGGTCAACTTGAGCACCTTAAATAAGTTTTTCCAGGTGAAAAGTACAGATTTGTACCTTTTCATAACCGAATGTTTTAAAACAGAACAATAAAATAAAAAAGCCTGGAGACGAGACGGGGTGTGTGGAGTCAATACAACATAGACAATATAAATTCAATGGATTTTGGTACAGTTATGTTCCCTGACTAAAGGTACTGAGATGTACCCTTGAGGGTCCCACCCCAGGGACAGGGTAACTGGCCAGTCACAGTTTCATACCTTTATTTCCGGGAGTGTAGAGAAAAGCTTTCTTAGCGCTCTTTGCTGATAACAGTATCTCAAACTGATCAGCTTTAATTATTTCCACATGCCTAACATAACAACAGATTGAGTTGAGCATCTGAATGGGGCGAATCAGGTGGATCTGATTAGAGGAGCAATAAAACTGCAGGAGAATCAGCAGGAGCTCAATTCACTAACAATCACTTACTGCACACATTCAGGAACAAAGCCATCTGCTCTTCCACACACTACTATTCAGTGTCTCCCCACACATAGGCTATACCCCCCCCCCACACACACACACACACACACCCCCACCCAAAAGTATATTCATGAGCACCTGAATATATTTTTTAACACCATTCTATTTTTATTTCATTCCATTTTAACAAACACCAGAGATAAAAAATATTTTTTTTATGAATAAGATGTTTGTAATGCAAAGCTTCCCTCTCTCCCCTGAGGTCATTTAGACGATCTAAACATAAAGTGCTTTAGATCTAAAAACCCAAAACATGGGAGGTTTCACATTTAATCATGTGATACCTTATTCAAATACCTGAATAAGTAAACAAATGTTATGATGAGATTGGATATCCGTATATTCAAATAACCTCCCCTGTCCACCAGGCCCGTTTCAGACCTGCGGGAAACTCTGCTATTACATTATTTTTATAGATTCAGTTTTGCTTCCACACTTCGGGCCCGCAGTGTTAGTAGCAGTTGGGTCAGTACCTTGTCCTTGAAGTCAGTGTGGTTCTGTAGAATGGCTCGTTGATAGGTTCCAGTTCGAACGTAATCCTGCATCATGTTCTGCTGCTGAGAGAGGTAGCCATAGAACTGCAGAGCCCAATAAGGAAGGAAAAGAGAACAGTGAAGTATTAGTGGTCACAGACTTGAAGAACCTAATGGATAGACCCATTTACATGCATGTTCTTAACCATGTTTTACATACAAACTTAAAAAAGATGGTTCTTTAAGGGTTCTTTAGTAAAGAAAATGGTTCTATATGGAACCAAGAACACTCCTAGAACTCTCTGCATGATTAATGGGTTCTCTGCATCATGAAAATATTCTTCAGATTGATGGAAAATGTGCTATAGATGGTATAGATGGCTTTTTGAAAAAGGTTCTTCTTATCCTTCTTGTTATATAGAGCCCTTTTCAAAAAGGTATAGAACCATCTATAGCACATTTTCCATCAATCTGAAGAACACTTTCACCATGCAAGGAACTCATAACATGCAAAGAGTTCTCTGATGTTCATGGTTCTATACAGAACCATTTTTTTTTTTACTAAAGAACCCTTGAAGAACCATCGTTTTTAAGAGTAGTTTTTTAAAGTCCAAAGTATTTCAGAATTGCTGAAAGGCTCTGCAAAGTTTGTTATGGTTTTTATTGATCGGCCTTATTTTTTAAAAATATGCTCGATTAATCAACATAAATCAACTTATTCATTTACTAACAGGGATGGGCATTTTAGTCAAATTGAATATTTATTTTTGCAGGGCATTATTCAAAAGTATTTCTGAGCTCAGACATCTCATGGTTCTTAAACATAAGCATAATGCACAGTGCTGTGCAAAGCTCGGAGATCACCCTTCATTTCCGATATTTTCAAGTTTGATTTTTCCGACCCAAAACGTTCATGAGCCCTGTAGTGTGCTGTAGCTGAACAAGTGATTCAGGAAACAATCAAACAGAGAGCAAGGCGAGTGGAGAAATCAAGGTGATGAGAGATGACGGACTAGACAGAGGAGCTGCTTATTAAGTTCAGGCAAATAATCACTCTTCACAGTTTCAGGTTAGCACCCAGTTTTGTCCAGCTCTATCAGCATTTCAACCTTGTTCATCCCCAGTTTTTGTTTTCGCTGTACGTTTTGTGTGTGCATAAAACTACAAGCAGGTTTGGCCCTTATCACACGATACAGACAAAGTCTGGAATTTTGAGTGCTTTTTGTACCTGAAACTTATTGTGTGTTGTACCCACTTTCTGCTACACCTATTGTGCAGGTCCTCACGGCAAAATAAGAGTCTGTTAAAGACGTAATTCTGTTAAGTGAGCAGGATTCTCCGTTTTCAAAATCTGTTAGGAATTTAAAAGTTGTGTAGTAGCTTAAATATAATATAATGTCTGTTTTTTTGCCTTTTCTCAGTAACAACTTCTTCACAGCTACACATCCATTCAGACCCAGTGTTGACTTGTCTTCTCACAGTGGAAGAACGGACAAAAAAAACTAGGTTTTTTTTTCAGAACTGAAGCAAAAGTGCTTGATTTTCTCCTCTCTCTCAAAGATGAAAGCTTTAAGTATTGTTTATCTGATGGGCACAGTTTGGTGGTCTACCAGGTCTTGGACGGTTGTTACGAGTCCCATTTACATTCTGATCATTTTTTGAACTCCCAGTTTTAGAAACTCATTCATTTTCCTTTGACTTTCTTTGTGCAAGTGTATTATCTCATATTTAATATCCTCAGAAATATCTCCTGAAAAATGAATAACTTTTACTCAATGACCACTCTGACTGAAAATCAACTCAGTGAAGTGGTCTCTGATTTTTGCCCAGTATTAAATAGGGTTACCATCACTACTTGGAGATAGCAATGACAAATCCATTCAATCACTTAATCACGTGACGGCAAGGAAGCTGTGTATGTTTGTGGATCCAGATGGACACACCTGAAAGTACTGAACGGCCGACGACTCCTCTGTCCTCTCGCTGAAGACTGAGCATTCGTTAAGGTGTCCGCGACAGTTCTTCAGAAGGTTATAAAATGATGAGAAATCTGCAATGTACCAAAACAGCATCAGGCAGCAGGTCAGAATACTATACCACATTTTATTCAAACAGACAGACAATTGTCAACAGACTAATATGAACTTGGGATGTTTTATAGGTGGTGTTTTGGTTATATGGGTCAGAAGTATGGTCTTCATAATTACCACTAAAAAAAAAATATATACATATATACACACACACACACACACACACAATGAAACAGTATTTATACTATTTAAAATTATATATATATATATATATATATATATAATATATATATATATATATATATATATATATATATATATACATATATATATATATATATATATAAATCATAATCACATATTATTAAATAATCATATATATATATGATTACTATTTGACTAGTCAGTCAAAGAAAAGAAGCTGACCAGTCGTTACTACAGGGAGATTCACTCGAAAGAGACCCCGAATATTCTGTAATAACTCTCGCTAGGACGAAGCAAAGTGAACAAAACAACGTTGAGTGTGCTCCTCAGTATATGGAGCTTCGAACAAGCCAGGACGCCCCTGCGTTGGAGCAGAGAGGTAGGCGGCGGACAGCCATCGCAAGGTTTAACCTTCGTTTGCAATTTCCAGGTGCATACCCCCGTACCACTTCATGTGTCTGGCAGAAAGCAGAGATCACTTCGATCATTTCATGTAATGCAATCGATTACACATACGTCAAGGTATGTAGTGTATTTTTTTGGTTCAGATTGCTTCATCTTAACGGGAGTTACAACAGAATATTCGGGGCCTCTTTCGAGTGAATCTCCCTGTACTATAGTAAAAAAATAAATAAAAAGTCAATAAACAACTGTGGGATAAAAATAGACATAGGCAGATATGTATGACAAATATTTTCATAAATAAAGGCAACAAATTTTTACAGCTAAATGTATTTTCTGCCCGAGCATCCTTGGGAAGTGAAATCAGGATGTGGACGTGAGACTGAGCTTTACAATGCGAAACAATGAAAAGTTTGCTGCTTGCAGCTTGTTAATTGATGCTGATGCAGCATTTTGTGGTGTAAAACATGCACTGTACAAGAGTTTTTGTTGTGTTTCAGTCTTCTCGGCTAACTGAGTTAAACGTGGTCTGACAAACTGCAAATTAAAATAAGGAGGAGGTTGAGTTCTCTTAAGGAGGTTGAGTTCTCTTAAGGAGGTTTTTTGCCACTTTGCCTTGCTCACTGGGGCTTGGACTAGGATTTTCTGTAAAGCTGCTTTGTGACAACGTCTGTTGTAAAAAAGCGCTTTATAAATTCATTTTAACTTGAGTTGAGGACTGAAAGCTATAGGGACCACTCTACTGAATTACTTTAAATTTAAACATTAAATTAACTTCATGTTTTAATACAAAACATGATTTTATGTATGAAACAACTGTTCAAAAGCTGTGTCTGCTTGTCATGTACTGGTGAGCATTTTTTAGTTCTGTGCAAAAGTGCCTAGAATTATCACTACCAAAACATTTAGTAAAGTGTCGGCTGTGTTATGACTGTTTTGGTAGTGACAAAATGGTCTCAAGTCCAAGCCAGTTATGTGTCAGTCCAAATATAAGTCAGTATGAACCAGTCCAAATGTGTTTTGAACTCTGACTAAAGTAATTTGGTAGATTGCTCCATATTCAATCTTTGGCTACAATCAACCACATCTCACAGAATCTTGCCTCTTGCAGCTTTCTGCACTACTGCGCAGAAAAGCTTTAATCAGTCCACATTCCAGGCAAACTTGTTGAAATGAGCATTTCTTTGTGAAGGTGAAATGAGTCACGTTTCTCTACAAAGTGTTGCGGTGCGGAAAAATAAAAACCCCTCTTTATTTAAGACGCCGCATCAGAATAAAAGCCAGATGCAGAAGGACTGCGCTTTATGAGCTTAGCCAGCAACTATTTCAGAGTTTAACATTTTAATGTAGGCTAAAAATTAGATTTTTGAGATCACAAAATCATAGTTACGATGTCTACAGTGACCAGATGGACAAAAAAAAAAACAGCTCTAAATTAGAAGAACGTGGTTTAATATAAAGTACTCGACCAGTGTGCCTCACCTTAAATCATGCTTTGGAATGAACTTTTCAATTGTAACAGCTCACTTTAAGATGAACTCAGATTTTAAATTGAAGAAGGAGGGAAAATTCTGATCAGTACTCAGTATCGTCCAATATCCTGAGTTTTTTTCCCCAGGTATCATAATCGGTATCCGGAGAGAAAAGTCAGATCCTCAATACAGGTGTTAATGTAGAATTTAAGTAGACAAGATAAAAAGGACAGTGAGTGTGGTTGGTAGGTGTACCTAATAAAGTGGCCAGTGTTCTCCTAAACATTTGCTGGTGTAAAGCGCGTGCGTGGGCCAGGAGGTTGAGCGAGTGTTACCTGTGGGGGATGCAAACTGCAGGAGCACGCTGTTGCAGCCGAGTGTGATGATGAAGGACTGTTTCCCAACACGACTGCACTCAGTTTCCCGCGACACTGAACACTTAAACACGCTCGCCTCGTCATCTGCAACACAAACACAAGTCAGTCCATGGACAGCAGGCAAGTAACACTCTATTCTGCATTACATGGTGTGAGTGATCAGAGTTGTAAAGGACTGAAACAAATACACTCCTAAAACACACCAACTCCCTGTTTCATCTGATCAATTTACGCAGCAATATTATTATGACGTAAACATGAGCCAGCTAAGTACTTGTGCTGCATCTGAGTGGTACCCTGAGCGTACATTACACAAACACCATATTAAGTTAATGTTTTGACAAAACAAATATAATATACACCCCAGATGAACCCATACATACAACTTCTGCTTCTTCGTCGGAGCTGTGAGGCTCATTTTGCTAAAACACTAGAAGTCAATAGTCACCCAAATCGTTTCTGTGAGTACATGCACAAAACTTTCTCTCAAACCACATCCAGGTCTTTATTAAGGTCGCTTATACTTGAGATCACTGTATATAACTTAGTACGAATGCTGCCATTTTTAAACCACTTATAGCTTCAACACTAAACTGACTATTTCTGGCTTAAGTGGAAAATTGTGTAAACTTGATCAGTGTACTTATTTTGAACACATAAACCAAGTTACTGTATTTGCCGCCTGCTGCTTTAAAGACCCCATGCACTCAAAACTGTGTCTTTTTAAATGGTTAACTCCTCTGTGATGGCATATTATGGTATACACACTCATATTAGTATCAAACGTGTTACCATATCATTCACATTTCACATTTTTCTATTGAAAACGGGTTTTCTCAGGACAATATGTGGGGCACTCTGTAGCAGCTTAGCTTTGTACATCACGAATGAGCTTGAACCTATCATGGTCCAATATACTAACATATGCTAATGAGCCACACGCCACGAATCTGGCACATTTCCATTACGAAATAAAGATGTTGATTAATGTGAATTGTACCTGTTAACCAAAGTAAAGTAAATAAAAGCTGCATGAGCCCAACCTACCAATGCTAAACCAGCATCAACTGGCATTCGTTAAGGGCAGCACAAGCACCCGAGCTGAGAGGGAGAGACAGAGAGCTTGTGGCCTGTGTTGCCTCACGTCCTACGGCAACACCACTGGGGTCGAACTGCGTGGTCAGGCAGCTGCACCACTAGATGTTATGCATAGAAGCTAGCATTAGCTAAGCAAGAAGGCCTAAACTTTAATTCTGACCAGAGACGTTACAAAGGTAGGAGACCGGTCACTGCTTGGAAAATGAAATTTCTCTTTTGTGCCTGGTTTGGAAAATGAATGTGGGAAATTTCTCAATTTCTAAACAGAGTCAACTGGGAAAAGATCCCCTCAGTGTTGAGATCTCTGAAAGCACAGAAGCCAGAACAAGCAACAAAATAAATAAATTAATTAATTAAAAAAAGTTTTTTCTGTGTTATTTGAGCCGATCGCTATTTGCGATTCTTTTCAGAGGTTACCAGCAATTTAAAATGTGTTTTTACATGATAATTTGGCCTTTTAGAGTTTTTAGGTCTCTCCTCCCCCCATTCAAAGAGAGAGAGGAGTCTGGTCTGCCTGGTCTGGAAATAACTGCCCGGCGGCGTTGTCAAGACGGCCGCCGGCAAAACAGACTTTCAGGCAAGTTTAGAGAATAAACACCCAAATGTTACTTCTGAGTTACATGCTTGTTAGCACCTGAGGATAACACTAGCTTAGCAAGACGGCTAAACCTCCAACACTTTGATGCCACAGTGAGGCAAGTTTAGAAGATGAAGACTCAAATCTGAAAAGATGGCTGAACTGAATGCAAAAAATCTGAAATCAGCCATATTTATAAAAAATAAATAAATAAATACTTTTAAGGTACAGACCAAAAGTCGTCGGTCTCATAAGCATCAGTGAGACAATAACTATTCTTGTTTAACACTTGGTGACTGGCCGTCTTAATTACATCTCCACACATGTAATTAACATCAGCGCTTCTTGATTAGTCTGCAGCAAGTAAATAAACCTGCTTCCCGCACCTCAGTCATTTCTGGCTTAAGCCACACCTACATTCGCTTTGTATTTTAAAAGACAGAACTCAAAACCAAAGATATTTTAAAACTATAAGTTAATTCATTCAGAAGAGCAACAGTACAGCTTCCATTATCATGCTTGCTTCTGACCACCAACCAGTCCTCTAATAGGACCACAAGGGCATAATCCCGATCAATTTCCCATCATTCAACTTCTCATTAAGCCATGCTATGAGGGATTAAACAGTGAAGAGTGACTGCAGAAAGCTCCTGTGTTCACAGCACCGTTTCAGCTGTTGCTGTTGGGACAAAACAAGATGCCAATAAAGATTAGTGAAGCAAGATTAGCTAACGCTAAGGCTATTGATAGCTCGCATCTACTGTGGCTGCAGAAACTCAGGAAAATTCTTGCTGTCCTGCACAGGACAAGAAATGGACAAAATAACAGAAACACTAATTTATTAAAGGGCTCACATCTTACATTTTTCTTGGATTTTGCTTTTTTCCCCCCTTGAGATCCACTTGATGTATGTGCGGTTTAATGCACCAAAACCAGACATGCTTCATTTTTCCATGATAATTTTCCAACCTCTCTTTATACCTTAAAATTGAAACAGGCTGCTAATTTGTTTGTATGCGAGTTTTCGATATCTTTTTTCTATCTTTCGGTTATTTTAACCATGAGGATTTGGGTTCAGATTCTCCAGCATGGTCTGTATTAGCATGATACAGTTCAACAGAGTACACAACTGTAAGTTTTCATCAGGTATTTTTGCAGATACTAATACTGGCCGTTAATATTGGTGTATATTATCGGTCCGGCTCTAGTAAAGCTAACGAACTAGGAAATCCTGTAAATCCTACAAATAAAAGCAGAAACTTCTTTCGGCGGCAGAGATCCTCTCAGAGACTTCCACTTCTGCATTTATCCAAGTTTGCAAAAGACAGAAAGTGCAGAATTCGTTTCAGCTCCATAATGCAGTCAGTTTACTCACAGCTAAACAACCATGAGTAAATTTTTCCAGAAGCACACAAAACAACTCACAGTGAAGCAGAGTGAGACATGAAGGCACATGAAACACTCTGTTCCAGGTTCTGTTATACTGCACTGAATAAAAGATCATAACTTCAAGGTCCACATCATTCGAAGATCACATGTCTCATAGGGCCTATGTTCTTTATTCTAGATGTGTTTTTTCATTTCAATGTTTTATCTGTTTATTGAGTCTTTCTCAGTCCAGCACATCTTGCAAATAAAATCAGGTGCAACATATAACATTATTGTTATCGTTATCAATTAAAGCTGACTGACACAGGCATATGTTGGGCTGCTCGATAATTCATTTTGTTTAATTGTGATATAAAGGTGGGCAATACGATGATATATTGTCACTACTGTGATAAACAAAATGCTTTTCAAAGCATATTGTGAATATCATACATAAACAACACTGACCAACTGCATGTTTCATTACAGAGAGCATAAATAATCCTGTTTAACCGGATTGAGTGCAGTGAAGTGTGTGACATGAGAAAAAACACAAGACATATTTTTGGCTGTTTTTAAATGTTGCACTACTTGTGCTTTGTGTCTGTATGTAAAAATACAGTGACACATATTATGTTCTGCAATATCGTGATAAGTAATAATCACAAGATAATATTTTTGCCATATGGCCCAGAACTCTTCATGTCTTATACAGTACTGGATTTTGCAGGAGTTTTTTGGACCACGCCATACATCTTTATGAATTTACATCACATGCACAGACTCAAAAGATTGGGTTTGATGTTTATTATACTGATAAAGATATAATGACAATAGTAGATCATTCACTTGCATCCTCTGAAGACAAGTCCTTCACCAAGTTTATGACAGTTCTCTTTCAAAACTCTTAACATGTTCTCAATCATCAGATTAATTTTGGGCAAAAGGGACAAAGCAACTCTACATGCTGCGTGCAGTTCCACAATTCCACCAGAGAGGTCTCCACATCCCCAAAACTTACGTGGTGCAGCTTTTCATTTTCCGATTTTATTACTTTTCAAGGACACTTTTAGTACTGTAATTTGGCCTTTATATTTTCCAGGAGCCGTATGAACCCTGTGTCAGCACTTGGGTACACGGGGCTGTTGGGAACTGTTTGAAAATTCCTTATTAAACTGCTAATAGCAACACCACAGAGAAATTTTTACATGCTTTCATGCATATCTAATGATATATGTAATCTAATGATATATATAACACATACATACACACACACACACACATTTCCAGTTTCAATAGTTTTCAATGTTGAGGCCAAGATTTAATTTTATTTTATACACTAATAATGCTCTTAATTCAGTGCTCTAATTATATACTACAGTACTGCAGAATGGTTTGGCTCAGATAAATAAACATTCTCCACCAGAACTTTAACGCCTGTGCCTCCACCCTTTAACCAAACAAAACAAATGAACAAAAAAAAAGTCACTTGAGTGAGACTGTGCGCATAGGATGCACTCAGATGCCTAGTTTTCACTACTGACAGTGGGTTTACATCTCTATACAAATAGACTGCACTGAGAATGGTACAACCTGACATACATACATACATACATATATAACTATATATATTATATAACTATATATTTATATAACTATATATATCAACCACTGACATCAACAGAACATCAAACAGTGATTGCTGATCAATCACCAACTATTTTTATAACTATTATTTCACAGAGATTTATGTGCAACTTGGCTAATGTTGAATGTCGTACCGTTACACTATAAAATATCTACTACACATTAGCAGCTCCACAACACCAAAAACACCAGGTTCTGTCCACAGAACTGCAGAGAGGCGTGATAAAGGACCAAAAGTGACTTACAGGACCCCTTCATGCACCTCCATACTCCATTAATATAACTTAGAAATATATATTTCAGGCCAAAATCCAAGGGTTATTTCAAAGCTATCACAAAACAAGGACTCAGACATCAGGCAGCGTATTCACAGCCTGTTCAATGTAATAACTTTCTGTGAAGGAGTATTTAGAGGACTTCAACTTCTTCAGACATCTGGTTCCCATCACCGCTGCTGTGAACAGTTCTCGCTAGGTTTCCCCACAACAAAGCACTTCATATCGATCAACTCTGTACTACTTTGTTCACATTTTAATTGTTTACTTGTGGAGAAATTTTGAAACATCAGTAGAATCCCCTTTAACACTGGGATGCAGTGTGGCTATAATCCTTTCTTTGGGATGTTTGAGGAGATCCGAAAGACCACTTTTCTTTTCTGAAACTCCTGCTTATATCTTAAACATGACGATATGATATTTACAGACATTTCACGACCGAATAAAACACGTCTCTGAGAGCGCCGTGTTGTGCAAATGTGCTTTTGCGCTCACGGAGCCGCTTCTCCATTCTTTTCTTCCAAGGAGCATCCAAGGCAGCCTGAGGCTCGAACAAAAGCCGAGACTGCTGAATGAACAGGCGGGCAAGTGGCAAGAGGGGAGGCGGGGGGGACCTGCTATTGTCTCATAGTGAACAAAGATGAACGTCTAAGCGGTTGTGGATAAGTAAAACAGTACACAGGCTAAAAGCACAGCATGTTATACTGCCTAAATGAGCACTGAATATGTGGCTCACATTTCTCTCACATAGACCGGCGTCCAGTGATGCGATGTGCGCCATCCAAGCTCAAAAAATAAAACACGGTCGCACTCCCCCTGCCAGCTGGCACGCGTTAGGGCTAGATTAAGCACTTAAAGGGGAACTCCATCGATTTTTTAAAAATTCTACATAATTAAATGGTTGCGATGTAAACAAAGATACTCAGACTGGCTTGGTGTGAAATGCTCCGTTCTAGAGAAACTTGCCTTCTTAGAATTGTTCACAGTGGTGCTGATAGGAACCAGACGTCCGCCTCTAAAAGCTATTACATGAAATGGTGAGATACATGCTGCCTGATGTCTGAGACACTGTTTTATGATAGTTGTGTGAAATTTTGGCTTAAAATGTGTTTTAATCCATTTATTTTAGTTAATTCATGGCAGAGGGGTACACACAGGGCATTGTTAGGCAAAACAGTCCCCAAAGAAATCTTATGTCCATTTTACCATCATCAATACTACACATAAAAACTCAGAAGACACGTGCAGGTTTACTGGTGGTTTTGGATAGTAAATTAAACGGCTATACTGGTGTTGTAGACACTGTGACCCCTGGTTCCTATCACCACCACTGTAAAGAAATCTGAGTCTCAAGGACCTATTTCACATCAGACCACTCTGAATCACTGTTTACATCTCAAGGACTGAATTATTCAGAAATTCTGAAAACCTGGTGGAGTTCCCCTTTAAAGCGCCTTAAACACGAAACTCTGGGACACTTTATAGGGGCAAGTTTCATTTTTGGCCCTCTCTGTTTTAAGACGGACTCAGTTACTGACTCCAAAGAAAGAGCGAGGTGCTAGCTAACTTTATGACTAACGTTAGGCGCGAACCAGCATCAATAATAAGCTATTAGTTAGCCAACTTGCTAAGCTAACCCCCTCGCTTTATTGTCCAAGGCGCGAAGTTGAGGACAAGTTATGTTTTCTTGGGCGCTGTTGTCCAAAATACGCCACGGCTACTTTAATATCTCCCCAAATTAAACTTCTTACACTTTGCTGGACATGGTAGTGCGGCAGCTAGCTAGCTTCAAGACGAAGCTGGAGTCAGCGTCTTATTCGAATTTTCCCGGTCCACCTTAAACAGTGCAGCAGCTACATGCTGGTGCCTCATGCGCCACAATACAGCTGCTGCCTCATTTAAGGTAGACCGGAGAATTCGGACAAGAAGCTGGCGAATACGCTGCCACACTTCCAACGTGGTGAAGTAAACAGCGCCTTGTCTGGTACGTCTGAAGTAACATTCACAGCTGTGGTTAAACGCCACAGATTTAAATTAAATCATTATTAAAAAGCACAAACTCGGGTTTTTACTACAAACGCAAACACGTAACCCAACTATTAAATGCTGCATTCGCTCTAGCCTAGTTAGCATTAGCATTAGCGTTAGCGTTAGCCAGCGGCTAAGGCTAAGCGTGCCGGACACAAAGGCTGGAAAAACAAACCGCCGAGCGCTCACTCACTGTTGGAGAGGTTTAAGAGGGCCGCGTCCTGGGTGGTTTTCACCTCCAGCCGCAGAGGCTGCTGCTCGGAGTGCCGCTGGATGTCTCCTTTCGCATCCCCAATGGAGAGGAGCCGCACGCCGGGGAACACGGACACCGCCATCTTCAAGCTCGGGGGGAAGAGAGCAGCAGCAGCAGCGAACACGCAACCGCTCCGATCCGATCTCCCGCGGACTCGGCGGGGAAAGCAGGCCGGGCTCATTAGCGCCTCCGTTCGGTCAAAGCGGGTAGCTTAAATCTTATACTCCTAAAATGTTTCTTCAAAGGTTCTTAGGTAAAGGCAATGGTTCTATCTAGAACCATATGTTCTGTACAGAGCCATTTCAAGCTTAAATGGTTCTCTGCACGGTGAAATGGTTTTTCAGATTTACGGAGAACGTGTTGTGTATGGTTCTGAATAGAACCTTTTTGAAAAGGGTTCTATATAGCACCAAAAAGGGTTCTTCTGTTGTTACAAGCTTGATATATATAGAATAATTTTCAACACGTTGTCCAGCACCAGGCACCATGCAAAGAACCATTGGTAGAACACGTGGTTCTAAACAGAACCATTGGCTTTACTAAATAACCCTTGAAGAACCTTCTTTTTAAGCGTGTGTAGTTACAAGCCTGATATGGTAGCAGAACCCTTTTTGGTGCTATATAGAACAATTTTCAAGCAGGTTCTATGTAGGTCCATACTTCTATGGATCTACATAGAACCTCTTTGAAAATGGTACTATGTAGAATCTGAATCCCATTAATTTGAAGAAACATTTCACCATGCAACTAAGCATGGAAATGGTTCTACATAGAACCCTTTTTGGTGCTATACAGGACAATTTTCAAGTAGGTTCTATGTAGATCCATACGTATATGGTTCTATATATGTATATGGGTTTCTATATAGAACCTGCTTGAAAATGGTACTGTGTAGAATCTGAATCCCATCAATTTGAAAGAAACATTTCACCATGCAATTAAGCATGGAAACGGTTCCATACAGAACCATTGTCTTTACTAAAGAACCACTGAAAAGCAGTCCTTTTTAAGAGAGTAGGAAATTCTTGTGTCAGAGGTTGCTTAGAAAAATTACAACAGAAGATTAAAACACAATTAAGTAAAAATTTAATAAATAAATGTAATATTATTTATTAGAACGGAATAAAAATAAAAGTAAGATAAATGTAGTAAAGGAGGCTAAAACAGAAATGTAGAAAGGAGTGTTACACATGATACTGAAAATCATTGGCAATGATATTGAAAAGTATTAAAGTAATTATTGCACATGATATTGAAAAATAATGTTACACATGTTATTGAAGAGTAATATTGCAATGATGTTGAAAAAAGCCATATTGCACATAATAGTGACCATATTATTCTCAGTGTTCAATGTTTTAGCTGTCCTGCACACTTAAAAAAGATGGTTCTTTAAGAGTTCTTTAGTAGTCTTTTGTGGTTCTTCAGTGTGGTTCTTGCCACACTGACCCCAGTGTGGCAAGCAGGGGATGAGAGGCATCGTTCATAATTCTGAGTTCAACATCCTGCTCTCCGACACCTTCACCAAAGACTCCAGTTCCACTCCCAGGACAGAACCCGCTTTCTTGATGAACTTATTGGGCCTCGTTCACCAACCGTTCTTGAAAATAATTTTTTTCTTAAAATCCACTTAGACCGCTTTCACAAAGATTCTGACCTTCACCAATATTTTCTTATTTGGGATTTGTTCTTAGATAGACTCTTAAAAAAAGATGGTTCTCCAAGGGTTCTTCAGCGAAGAAAATTTTTTCATACAGAACCATAAACGCTCAAAGAACCATTTGCATGATTAAAAGGTTCTTTGCATCATGAAAGAGATCTTCGGATTAATGGAAAATGTGCATGAATATGCTGTAGATGGTTCTATATAGAACCTTTTTTAAAAGGGTTCTCCCATTGTTACAAGCTCGACACCATAACAATAGAAGAACCCTGTTTGGTGCTATATAGAACCATTTTCAAAAAGGTTCTACAATGCACGCAATCAGAAGAAGCCTTTTCATGATGGAAAGAACCCTTCAGTCATGCAAATGGTTCTTTGAGTGCTCATGGTTCTATATAGAACCATTTTCTTTACTAAAGAACCCTTGAAGAACCATCTTCTGTTCATGAGTGTAAGAACAGAATCTATGCACAGAGTACAAAGCTCTGAACAATTCTGCGGTTTAAGAACACGTCATGAATCTGACACAGACTTTTTCTTATGACCTCTCTCATAAACACTTAAGTGTATTTCTACACGACATGACGCTGACCACCACTGAGTGAAAAAACATCTGCAGCACGGTTTCGCAGACGTTAAAGAGTTCTTCTGCAGGGTCCTTTGCCAAAGTGTGGAGACCACCCTTCATTTATTTATTTTAATTTCCAATCAAAATGGTCATTAGTTATTAGTAAAGTTATTTATATTCAGGAGATATTTTGAGGAGATTAGATATAAATAATCCACTTGCACAAGAAAAAGGAAAGAAAAAATAATCATTGAAAGATACAGAGAAAATGGAACTCCTAACAACCGCGCAACCAAGACAGAAGCTCCACTTTTGCTTCAGATCTGAAAAAAGAACCACAGCCATCCTTCCACTGTGAGAAGACAACTCAGCCCTATGGGTCTGAAAGGATGTGTAGCTGTCAAGAAGCCTCACTGAGAAAAGGAGACAGACACATCAAACAAAGAAGCTGCTGGTGATCTGAGAAAAATGGACTGACTGATGCAAATACTGCCACATAAAAGTACAAAAAACGTCGAATTTAACTACATAAAAAATTCACATTACTAAAAAAGCATTTATATACTGTTGTATGTACAAGTTTTGGTGCCCCTGGTCAAATTATGCTTAGTTGACTAACACATCCTACAGAGAACACGTTTTAATGCACAATTTAACATTTCGCTGTTGTCGGAAGAAAACCTCGTATCTCCAAAATGATAACTTTACAGGAGAAGGAAAAAACCTACTTTATCTTTAATGTAAGTCAATGGAACCAGACTTTTTTCCAACTCATTTTGGGCCATTTCTTTTGGGCCATTCCTTATGAAATTTACAAACAATGTGAAGGAGAACAGGCATTTTCAAATTACGTCAAAAACAGAAAAACGACAAAAATGGAGATACGAGGTTTTCTTCCGACAGCAGCGATAATATATAACATGGCCTGTGCAAAAGTAATGACACATTTTAAATTTTATGCTTTATTTTTTCCAAAATGTTAAACATATCGATACCTGTATTGTTCAGGATAGTTTTAAGGCTCTAAATGACCTTAAGGCACTGCTTACATCACAGTGTCTGTCTGTTTATGTTCCAGCATGTGATCTTAGATCTGCAAATACTGGTCTTCTACAAACACCCTCTGTAAAATATAGAAAACCTGGAGAGACTCGTTCAGTTATTCTGCTTCTAAACTGTGGAACTCAATTCCACCTTTTATTAGACAGTCAAGCTCAGCGCTCACTTTTAAGAAGCATCTAAAAACGTCTCTTTAACTCAGCATTTAATTAATCTCATGGTATTTATCTTTTAATGTGATCTGTGTCATTTTCTTATATGATTCTAAATGAATGCTTATAATTTCTTGTATGACTGTTAAGCTTTATCACCTGTCTGTAAAGAACTTTGAGCTGCCACCGGCATAAAAAGTGCTATATAAATAAAAAAATTATTATCAAACAGAAAGTGTGCAATAAGATTTGCCTAAAAATGAAACAGTTCCCTGTAGAGGACGTGTTTACCTAATTTTACTTAGAAAGTCAACAAAACATGCAATTTGACTAGGGGTGTTCCCACTTTTGCATACACCTACACCGGCCCTTTGCGGATTTGAACAGTCAGTCATCTGCCGTCACTTGTTACGTGATTAAATATTAAAAAATACTTAACGCATGAAAACATCATTGTGAAATAACTTTATTGGAAATGTGCATCCATAATATATATCATAGGTGCGTGTGTATTTCAAGGCACTGAGCAGCTGATGGTTTAGTGTATTTAAAAATGCAAAACTGCATAAAACCTGTTCAGTAAACACATTACAGGATAATAATTTTTCATCCTTCAAATAATGTCTTTATATAAATTCAATTACACATTTCATGTAGGCTTGTATAACACAGACAAAACACATGTGGTCAGATCGTGTGAATGGGTGTGGGTCTGTGGAAAGCTCCCAAAACAGTTTTTTAGGTGTTAAGCAGGGATTTCTGTGATTTTCTGAGTGCATATTTGCCGTTATAGGTAGGAATGCTTAGCTTTAATGCAGTAGGTGTCCTATTAAATGAAATACATTGTACTGCTGCCACGGTTGGTTTTGATATATGACAGGTGTCTGAATGGCATATATTACACATTTAATCTCAGATGAATAGGCTTTTATATGTGTTTCTTTTTCATCTTCACTTTCTTGGCACTATACGTAGAATTTCTGCAAACAGTAAAAATAATACAATATGAACCGACATCTTCACTGTGGAGAAAAAAAACAAAGAAAAAAGTACCTCATTTAGTATTCAGACTGTTTAAATACACAAAAAATATAGATTTTACTTGGATTTAATTCAAATGTGTACATAATTTCCACATGAATAAAACATATCATATATAATATCAGTGCTGTGCAAAAAGTCAGACACCATCCTTCCAGTCAAAATGGCTATCGAGTAAAAAAAATGATTACAGATCGAGAAAATGGGGCTCCTAAGAACCGTGCAAGAACTGACAGACCACCAGAGCTGTACCCATCAGATACTACTTTAAGAGAAAGTGCAGCCAACTTCTAAGACTGAACTTTGGAGGTGTGAAAAAATATCCCTGCAGATTTCTTTGGAAAACTGAAAGCGAGTCTTCTGAAAAGACCGGAAGCTGTAGTAACAGAGTGGACATACTAAATACTGAAAAAAAGATATATTTAGTTGCTGAGTTCATATTTCATAAGCTACATTCAAAAGGTGGGTGTCATATGAGAGCTGTAACTGTCTTCTTTCCAGTCAAATAGATGGGGTAATAAAGAAGCTGAACTTTTTTTGTCTACTGAAAGTCGACCGATTTTTCCACAAATCTGAGCTAGAAACTATAAACAGATGGCGTCTCTTCAGTGATCTGCTCTGTGAAAATTATTTTTATAAAATAACACAAAGAGCGACAAAAAAGATTTTTGGCTTTCAGCAGTAAATTGTAAGCATATAGCAATCTGTGTGATCATAAAACACATGTTCTGTTAATTTGAGGGGAGCTTTTACAAAAATAATAAATAAAATAAAAATTTATATTTATTTCATGCAGTTACTGAATAATTAGCCTTACAATTTGGTCATGTAAATTCAGATGGAAAAACCAAAATATACCCTGGAGAATAAGAGGTATATGTTTCCTGCTTTTGTGCTCATGCTGAAAAACCAATCACTTGTACTTAGTGGTCATTTTGACTGGAAATTAACTAAATGAATGGGTCACTGACTTAACAGTACTGTATATGTAATACATTTAATTCCCATGGAAATGATGTATACAACTGAATAACGTATATTCAAAGCATATCTTCTTTTCAGTGTTTAGACCTTAGCAATAAAATCCCTGTTTCATTTTCAGTCAACAAAAGATCTACAAGCAGGGCTAAATAACAGGGTTTTGTATTGTATCTGCTGTTGTTACTGATAACTGGCTCTTCCAATTTGCTTGACTGTATTCGTGGCAAAATACAGAACAGCACTGGCTGATAAACATGCCATTAAAACTTATTTACAACTTCAGTTAGCTAAACTGGCTGATTTTGGCACTTTTTAAACTGACCCAAAAGTCAAAATATTACACACATCTCCTTTAAATGGACTGTAAAGGGTTAGAGTTTCATTACATGTATGACCTTAATATTTAAAGTACATTTGACTTTCCACCAAACTGAATACGTCACAATAAAGCTGTCAAATTGTTTCTGCCGAATTGCATCTCACCTGTCCAATGAATTTGACTGACATTTGAGAAATAAAAGACAAGAGAATGCAAATTTGTTTAAAGAAAAATTAAGACGAGAAAGTAAGGATATTCAGTGTTTGGAATAAAAGGCCTGAGAATTTTGTGTTTCATCTGTTTTCCTGTCATGTTAGAGCTTTCAGGACTCAAACTCCCCTCATTTTACAGTAAATGATACAATACATAAAACTATATCTCTTAAAGGGCCCATTTGAAGTCTCGATATACGATGTAAACAAAGTTTCAAAACGTACATGGAAATTAACCAGCAAAAACAGCCCGTTTTGAATCCATTGTTTATGTGATGTCACAACCCAGCTCATTTGCATACATCTGCCTATTCCGTCTACAGTTCAGTCACGCCCTTTCAAGCCAAAGTTATAAGAAGCGTTTCGGTGTGATTTTTAAACAAGGCACAAGATAGGTCAGCCAATCAGAACGCAGCTCATTTACATATCGCAGCTGTCAGAACAAAACCTCGTATCTCTATTTTTGCCATTTTTGATTTTTTGACAATGTGAAAAGGCCTGTTGCCTTTTATATTGTGTCTAAATTTCATCATGAATGGACCTTCTCCTGTAAAGTTCTCATTTTAGAGATATGTTTTCTTCTGAGAACATCGATATATCAGTTTTACAGTAATAGAACAGGCTGTTTAATTCTAGGCGATAAAAAAGGTTGGAAAATGTCATGTAAAAATGAAAATGACGTTTTTGCTTAAAAAAAAGAAACACAACTGTCATAAGTGGATCCCAGTATGGAAAAATAAATTACAAGAAAAATGATGTATATGGGCCCTTTAAAGTGAAATTACAATACATTGGATTTTAACAGCAAAGCTTCAGTAGCGTCTCCCACAAAAAGAAAAAAGGTCAGTGTAAATGTGCAAGTAGTGTCGATCCAGCGATGAGTGTCACTCCTGAAGTGAAGGAAGAACGGGAATGAGCTTTTAAAGCCCTCTTCATCTTTATACATTCAGAGAGGGAAAAAAGAAAGAGAGAAAGGATTGTTTTTACAGTTACAGTACAATAACAGAGGTGATATAGAGAAGTAGCAGAATTAAAAATATGATTAGCATCATCTCGCACACCGATAATCACTGATGATTCATCAATAAGGTGCGTTTTAATAGATTTTTACTGATCTAATACTGTAGATAAACAGACAAGCAGACAGACAATCCCTGAGAAAAGCTGGGTGCTGTGGCAAAATCACTGGACATGCAGTACTGTGCAAAAGTCAGAGACCGCTCTTCATTGGACATGCAGTACTGTGCAAAAGTCAGAGGCCACTCTTCACCTCATTTCCAGTGAAAACAGCCAATAAGTACAAGTTCAAAAATTTCAGCATCAGGAAAATAGCAGAGCAACATATTTAATAGAAAATTACTCAAAAGCCTCAACAACTAGCTACAACAAAAATTTTCATCCTTTGCTACCTTTTTTTTATCCTACTTCCTTCCCTTCCATTCGGGAGACTTACTTTCATCTATTTTTCCACCCTTCTGAAGTTCAGTCTTAGAAGTTGGTTAAATTTTCTGCTTCTCACAATCTGAGTCACAATTGCAAACACATTCAGTGATGCTGAGGTCTGGACGCTGGGGTGGACAGTCCATTTTTTCTAAGAACACCAGCAGATGTTCTTTTTTGTTTATTTCTTTTCCCAGGGAGGCTACTTACGACGGGCCACTGTTAATAAAAATAAAAATAGTAGACTTCGAGAATAAAGTCATACTATTTCAAGAAAAAAGCCGTAATATTTGGAGGATAAAGGGGGCTAACTGTAGGGGGGCTGCCATAACGCGTTGGGGTCTCGGTTGCTGTACTGGCGCTGGAGCTCCACTCACTCCTGTCTCCTTGTGGAACGATCATTTTGATCATCATTCTCACTGTCTGTGAAACTTCATGCCCTCTTTGAATGGCGCGGAGATGTAGCCACCGATAGCCGTGTAGACGACCCTGCGATTCTCCTTCAACAACACAGACAGACAGTTTCCTCCGAGTCCGTCTGGCTCTCTATTCTAGATAAACAGTTTCCTGCTCAGCCGTTTCAGATTACTAATAATAATCTGGTGCTGATGTGCAGGAGAGACAGGGAGACTGAGTGTTTCTTTATGGGTGAAATCGATATGAAAGTATAACTCCACCAACTCACCGCCCCTCATTTAACACGAGGAGGTGCTGCCTTCCCTTTGCAAAGCCGTTGGCCACAATATTGCGACCTTTCCTGGTATTAATGCCACTTTAATGTCATAATTCTACGACTTTTTTTTTCTCAAAATATTATGACTTTATTCTCGAAGTCTACTATTTTTATTTTTATTAACAGTGGCCCTAAAATGCCGTCGTAGCTTCTTGGCAGCTACACATCCTTTCAGACCCATAGTGCTGAGTCGTCTTCTCACTGTGGAAGGATGGACAGAAACACCTGTGGATGTTTTCAGATCTGAAGCAGCTTGATTTTCTCCTCTCTCTCAAAGATGAAACCTTTAAATGAAACCAAAGATGAAACAGAAGATGAGACTCCTAACAACCACCTGAAAAATGTGGTAGACCATCAAAACTGTCCCCCTGAGATAAACGTGCTGTTTATCTCAGGGGGACAGTTTTGATGGTCTACCACATTTTTCAGGTGGTTGTTAGGAGTCTCATCTTCTGTGTCTCTTTTAATCACTTTTAAAAACTCCTGTTTTTTCCACTTATTTTCCTTTCTAAAGCAAGTGGTTTCATCTTATGTCTGATCTCCTTGGAAATATTTTGGGAAAGATGAAAAATGTGTCCTTAATGGCTGTCTTGACTGGGAATTAAATAAATGGGTGGTGTCTGATGTGCACAGTACCCAACACATGTACACAAAAAAAAAATGATACCAAATGCGGAGGCAACATCAAACCAAAGCGTTCACATTTTGTGGTGGTATGTAAACAACAACAGGGTTTTGGGGGCATCCTTGAGGTAAATGTAATACTCTTAAAGACTTTTTTTAATGCCACTTCAAATGTACTTTAAGGTCACATTTGCAGTGACGATATACCAAATATACTCTCTCTAAACAAAAAAATGTAAAATAAAATGCAAGAAAAACAGCAGGTAACGTTGCCACAACAACCCCATATTACTCAATGTCTGCCGCATGATGACATGATGTCAAATATATATATATATATATGTACATACACATTTATATATAAATTCCAATGTAAATGTCCATCCATATTAAGCCTTTTATTTGTAAAACATAAATGTTAAGCTTTTTAAGGACCCACAGCCACTCTGAATAAATGTGATGTGCCTATGACAATAATTTGATTATGAACCATGAGTTGTTGTCCATATGCAAATTCTGTCCTATTACTCATCATAAGAGATTAGGGGTGAGGTAGCGTGTGTTGTGCAGTCTGTAAATAACCCTATTTTCCTATAAAAAAAAATAGTATTTTAGCAGGGTGGCAGGGCCCGAGCTCCGAGCAGGGACGAAACCCGACGAGACAGCCGCAAGAGCCGGGGGGACAGGCGAATGCCACATCCAGATAATAGCTAACTACAGAATGACAACATAACATCTTATGGAGTTCTGGACAGTATGGCCAAAAACGAGAATTTCTGATTGTTTTGTAGTGTGCCTGTTCAAATAAAATCGTTTTAGATGCTTAAGTTAACCTGTTTGATGTCCCTTCAATATTTAATATGAACCACTTACCAACCAAAGTAACTCTGAAATATTTTATTATGCAAAATAACACAAACAAAACTGAACAAAATATAGATAAACCTGTCTAGAGCTAAATGTTGTTTCATGTCTGAATTTCTACAAGGCTGATTCAACAGCCTACTGTTCGAATTTTCCATTCCACCTTAAATGGAGTAGCAGTTACACTCTGGCACTTGTACAGATGCCTAAATGTAACTGCTCCAGCATTTAAAGTGGAACGAGAAATTCAAATCAGAAACCTATTTTAGCTTCGTTAAATTCTCAAGTTACTTGTCTCGTGTGTTCCAGAGGTCCTGTTTACACCACGCATCAACATGCGTTCTTGTTGATCGGGTCTTGTTTGAATTTCACGTGACAGCCAGAAGTAAACACTCCCATGACCAATTGTGAGTGGATTAAGATCCATCACTCAAACCACATTCGGAACTGGTCAGAGATGAATCTTGACGACATTTAATGTGTGTTCGCTGTCTGTGTATAATTAAGTGAGTGGAGATGTGTCTGCCCAGCGCTGACTAGCAGGAGGAGAGAATAAATAATAAGTGTGTTTACATGCACTTAATAATCTGATCATAATATTATTTCTGTAGTTATCTGATTATTCAAAGGGTCATGTAAACAGCACACTCCGATTTCTTAGACTGGAGTAAAGTCTAAAAATCCGATTAAGAAATCTGATCAAGAGAGCTGGACTTTAGCTCAGTAATCAGATTTCTCAGTGCATGTAAACTCTTACTCTGATTTCTTTCCGATTTCACAGTCTGCGCATGTGTGAAAACAGACATCAGTACCGGAAATAAGCGAGCAGCATCGCCGAAAGACGCAGCAAAACACTTTTGGAGCAACGCTGAAACCAAATACATGCTTGACAAAATGAAGGATTTAAATCTTCTAGATGATTTATGTTCATATTTTCAGGTAAAGTGGCTTGGAAAAAAAAGCTGCGGCATAAAGTTTGAGTTTTACGTTACGTTTACGTCACGTCTTCTTCTGTGAGTTTATTGGCTGGTTGTAAAGCAGAAATCTGAGTACTGCCTGACTCAAGTGCATATAAACAAACAAAATCTGATTTTCGGTTTCAGTTCATTGGATTGTTAGGTAATTATGCAGGTAAACGCACTTAATGAAATAAAGGATGGAGGATACGCAGGCTGGATTTATCCTTACACATGAATATACATGCTTATTTGAAGGTTTTTGGGGGACTTTCCAGTGATGCTAACTTGCATTAGTAACGACAGGCTTGTTGTCCGCTGGACAGTGTTGACAAGCGCACCATCGCACCATGCACAAGGCATTGGATTGGTTTAGAAGTATCACTCTCCGTTTGTTCTCACCCTAATAAGTCTAAAAAACGCATCTCATCTGGTCAAAATGGGGACGCATTTTAGTGAAAAGTCTAAGTGGAATTCGCACTTCAGACGTCTGGTTCCTATCACCACCACAACAATTCTGACGCAGCTTTTCTAGACCGGCGCATTTCACATCCAACCACTTTGAATGGCTTCGCTTACATCTTAATTGTTTAGTCATGCATAAATTTTTCAAAAATGGTGGGGTTCCCCTGTCCATCAGTAACTGTTATGTAATTACAGTATTTAAATTGTAATGTATTTCACTGCTTTGTTACAGGAAAAAGTAATTATGCTGCTTTGTAATGTGTCACTCCTAGCACTGGTCATTACCTCAGAAGAGCTCACAGGATTTTGGGGGCCGGAATGGGTTGTCACTGGACGGGACCCCCATAAGCAGCGGGTCTTTATGGGCATTTTGCAAGCAAAAAGCCTTCAGGTCAGCTGCCGCCTGGGACACCTAACAACATTAAGGAACATAAACAACAGGAATACATTAACATTCAAAAGTTTGGAATCATTATTTATATGAATAATTACTGTTATTTTATTTTAATAATGACTTACACAGTAACTTTAAAAGTAATTTTAAGATGTTTTATTCAATATTTCAAATGCTTTAGGAAAGAATCATTCATCATAATTCATGTAAAAACACTCTGCCTTGATATTTGAACATCACAAGAAAACTCATTTGTTTAGAATTTAATTATTGATATAATTCAGTCATTATGAAAATGTCTACAGCTCTGTCCACCATTCTGGCCACATCTATCATAGTAACACCGCAATACAATCGTTTTACACGTGTATTTTCAACGCAAATTAGCTACATATTATGGAAACCTCAAAACCTTTCAATAGTAATCTCCACTTTTGTCAATTTCTGCTTTTTTCCATAAATTGTAAACTCCGTAATTTGTTACACTGACTTCCATTACAAGTAAGAACACAAGGTTTTGTTCCAGCAGCGACTCTATGTATTTTATTTATTTATATATTGTGCAAAGATCAGCTTCATTTATTCAATTTCCTGACAAAATGACCATTAAATTAAAAACCAAGTAATCATCTGTATAAGTACATGCCTCTGTGTGTGTATAGGTGCATATATATTATTTTATTTATTTATTTATTTTAGTTTTTAGTTAGTTTGCATGTTCTGCCAATTTTATTTCCTATTTGTATTTGTACTTATGTTTATTATCACAGTTTAATTATAGTACTTTGAGCGGAGTAGAGAGATAAGGGCGGGTCTTTAGGGAAAAGGGTGAAGGAAACCAATAAAGGAGTTGTCTTTTATTAGTGTACACCATGCTGTGTCGTCATTGTTGAACATTGCAAAAAAAAAAAAAAAATGTTCAAAAAACCAAGTAACCCACTCGAAATTCAACAGAAATATCTTTTTTTCTCAGTATTTATTGTGTCACTCTTCGCCTTTCATTCTTTTCAGGAGACTCACTTGTTGTTCAAAGAAATCTGCAGAGATATTTTTCCCTGTTGGTTCTCATTTAGTGATGTTGAGGTCTGGACTCTGGGGTGGTCAGTCCATTCTCACAGCTTTTACTGTTTATCTGATCGTTTAATTCTATTTTAAGCTGTATTGGAAACTCTTGTTGTTTTTCCACTGAATAACAAGAGGTCCTGACCGTTTTGTCTGGGCATTAAATGAATGAACCGTGGTCTCTGACTTTTGCACAGTACTTTATGTGTTTCGTTACTATTAAAACGGGAAAAAGGAGGAATTGTTTTTGGAGCTTCCTTGATGTTACACTTTTAGCCGTCTCTTCCCGCAGGGAAAAGCATGTGTCTCTAATTAGGATTTGGCCTTTAGCAGCCAACAATCCTCGCACTGTCACACGGTTTACAATCAACAAAGAGCTTCTCTGTTCGGGGCACATGCTCACTCTCACTCTCACCACAGCTCAACTTCAATATGTAGAGTTCTGAGCGAGAGGGACTACAGCAGCCTGGACTAAAACCACAGCGTATGAACTAAAACCTTATCTTTCTCACTTACTCTCACCTTTTTTCGTTTTTGCTTTACCTTAATAAACTGAAGCACCCTAAAATGTGAACTCTTGACAAAATATCGGCGTCACATAATACAGATCTGTATAGTGCACAAGAAAACACTAATAAACAATATACTATATTCTGATTTATACTCATTTTGAATTTGTATTGATTTACATACTATGCATAGCACTTGTTCCTCATTTAATTTCACTGTTTGTTTCTATGTCTTATCTGATTACATTTGCAAACTACAATAATTTCCAAGTAAAAGAAAACTTACAATAAAAATAATTTTCCCTTTTTTTTTTGTTTTAGTTTTAGCACTGTAGCTTGTAACGGAAGTTTATACACCACCAATTAACGTGGTGCTAAGCTACACTGTAAAAAGTGACACATTAACTAGTGTTACCCATTTTAACACTTTTTGCGTCAGACTGTTTTCTGATTTAACACATTCCGTGTTAAAAGCAACCCAACGTGTGTTACCTTTAACTGGGTACAGAAATATTTCGCCACGCTGTGTTAAAAGTAACCCACTGATGTGACTATTTAAAGACAGAATGTGTTGTTTTTAACACACATCCTTTAAGAGCGTAACTGCATGTCTAACTCATCACACGTTTGCCTCAAAATGTGTCGAATTGTTAGTTAATCTCAAAAAACTACACACAGTTAGCTACTAAAATGGACAAGAGATATAATTTTAAGATTATTTCACAACTCAACAGGGTGGAGTGATGATTTAGGCACACAGTTGGCACCGCGCTAACCAGGGGTGGATTTAGTGATTCTGGGGCTCTAGGCAAAAGACAGGAATGAGACCCAGTGAAGCATGAGAGGCTCTGGGCTCCTCAGTGGCACGACTCTAGACTTGCCAGCATATAAAAAATTATATCCTGGCAAGTGAAATCATCTTAAATCTAGCCTATATATCCAATACTTCTCATTTTGAGTTAGTTGTAAAAATATTAGATGATTTAACTGTTGCTATACATTGATACTTAGCTTATTTAATTAAGGTGATAATATCTCACTATACTGGCAGACAGATTTTTTTTTAAGAAATAATGCTTTAAACAAGCAAAATTATCTGCCAATGTAGAAGGATAATTTGGTACAGAATAACACAGAAGTAATAAGTAATAATACCTTTTTTCAGAATGTAATAAGTACTGTAATCATTACATTTTTGAAATGTAATGAGTAAATTGAATGGATTACTTTTTTTGAGCAACAACAGGGAAAACGTGGCCGGGGAGCGAGGCTGCAATAAAATTACAGAAAATATTCGCCAGTCGCCAGTCTTTTAAAAATGTATAGATATATACTGAAACAGAGCATTTAACCTTAACGCTTACAGTATAATTATTTGTATTTTCCTGGGGGCCCTCGGCTCATGGGGGCCTCCCTACCTTCGCCTAGGGCAAACGAGTACTAGTTAACGAGGCAAACTTCAAACACGTCCTGACTGACCGACTAAATTTAGAAAAAGGGGTAAAACTGAAAACATATGATTTTTCGAAGAACCACTGCTTTAAAGGTTTGTCTGGTAGTGTTGAAGCTTTATCAACAGAGCGGAGGTGAATGAACAGGTGCTAACTTAGCTTCTAAAGAAGGGTCGCAGTTTCGAGTGGCTAACAGTTGCCTGGCTACCCAATTAACATTATCCGTCTAATTTGAACTCCGAAAAATAATTTTCTGGTATATAAAAAAAGGGTATTTCTCCAGAAACAGACTCTGTGCTGTCTTAAAATGTTCCAGCTTTCTGGTTTGACCACTGTACAACAAGTTAGTCCGGTCACGCCCTCGAAGACGAGGCTGAAGTGAACGTCTAATTCTCCAGCTTCTTCTTCGAATTTCCCCGTTCCACCTTAAATAGTGCCCGAGGCCAGAATGTAACCGCTGCACCATTTAAGGGAGAATGGGAAACTTTAAATAAGAAACTGACTTCAGCTTCGTCCCTCGAAGTCGGTCAGTCAATGGTTTCCTCTCTCTCTCTCCCTCTCTCTCTCTTCTAAAGCTCCGTTTGTTTTCTCTCCCTACCTTTATCCGGCGGACGCTGGCCTCCAGCCGCAGTTGTTTTACGGCTTTTTGGGCGATAACCAAACTGCTTGCGCTGTTGTTTGACATCTCATCCGACCGCGAGGCTGACAGGGAGAGCTCCGAGCTAAACAGTGATTAAAATAAAAGAGGGACGACGGCAAAAAAAGCTCATCTCCGCCCCCTCTTCAGACTAACTTTTCCTTCTGCGAGGACGGGCGCGTCTCGAATCGAGCCCTAGTGCCCTACGTAGCTAGTGAATCACTAGTCATGAAGGAGCGCAAAATGAACGGGTTAAGATGGCGAATTTGAGCAAAATCATAGTCTGTAAATACAAACATTTTTATATGGAGGAATGCGTTAATTTACTGAACACAAAATAGGATAAAATATTTTAACGCCGCTGTTATCTTTTTGAGCGCTTTAGTACTCCGATTATAGGACTTAAGGTGCCTTTTGTTCATTACCTTCAGTCAGCCAATGTACACGCCAATCAGTTCGCCAACCAATCAGCATTCAGTAGCAGTAATGCTAACTAATCAGCAATCAGTAGCAGTACTACTAACCAGTCAGCGTTCAGTAGCAGTAATGCTAACCAATCATCACTCAGTAGCAGTAATACTAACCAATCAGCACTCAGTAGTAGTAATGCTAACCAATCAGTCCTCAGTAGCAGTAATGCTAACCAATCAGCTCTGAGTAGCAGTAATGCTAACCAATCAGCTCTCAGTATCAGTAATGACAACCAATCAGCTCTTGGTAGCAGTAATGCTAACCAATCAGTGCTCAGTTGCAGTAATGCTGACCAATCAGCTCTCAGTAGCAGTAATGCTAACCACTCAGCGTTCAGTAGCAGTAGTGCTGACCAATCAGCTCTCAGTAGCAGTATTGCTAACCAATCAGCTCTGAGTAGCAGTAATGCTAACCAATCAGCTCTCAGTATCAGTAATGACAACTAATCACCACTCAGTAGCAGTAATGACAACCAATCAGCTCTTGGCAGCAGTAATGCTAACCAATCAGCTCTTGGTAGCAGTAATGCTAACCAATCAGTGCTCAGTAGCAGTAATGCTGACCAATCAGCATTCAGTAGCAGTATTGCTAACTAATCAGCTCTCGGTAGCAGTAATGCTAACCAGTCAGCCCTCAGTAGCAGTAATGCTAACCAGTCAGCGTTCAGTAGCGGTAATACTAACCAATCAGCTCTCAGCAGCAGTAATGCTAACCAGTCAGCGTTCAGTAGCAGTAATGCTAACCAATCAGCCCTCAGTAGCAGTAATGTTAACCACTCAGCTCTCAGTAACAGTAATGCTAACCAATCAGCCCTCAGTAGCAGTAATGCTAACCAGTCAGCATTCAGTAGCAGTAATGCTAACCAATCAGCCCTGAGTAACAGTAATGCTGACCAATCAGCACTCAGTAGCAGTAATGCTAACCAATCAGCACACAGTAGCAGTAATGCCAACCAGTCAGCCCTCAGTAGCAGTAATGCTAACCAATCAGCGTTCATTAGCAGTAATACTAACCAATCAGCTCTCAGTAGCAGTAATGCTAACCAATCAGCACTCAGTAGCAGTAATGCTAACCAATCAGCTCTCAGTAGCAGCAATGCTAACCAGTCAGCGTTCAGTAGCAGTAATGCTAACCAATCAGCATTCAGTAGCAGTAATGCTAACCAATCAGCACTCAGTAGCAGTAATGCTAACCAGTCAGCATTCAGTAGCAGTAATGCTAACCAGTCAGCGTTCAGTAACAGTAATGCTAACCATTCAGCACTCAGTAGCAGTAATGCTAACCAATCAGCACTCAGTAGCAGTAATGCTAACCAGTCAGCATTCAGTAGCAGCAATGCTAACCAGTCAGCGTTCAGTAGCGGTAATGCTAACCAATCAGCTCTCAGTAGCAGTAATGCTAACCAGTCAGCATTCAGTAGCAGTAATGCTAACCAGTCAGCGTTCAGTAACAGTAATGCTGACCAATCAGCCTTCAGTAGCAGTAATGCTAACCAATCAGCACTCAGTAGCAGTAATGACAACCAATCAGCTCTCAGTAGCGGTAATACTAACCAATCAGCTCTCAGTGACAGTAGTGCTAACCAATCAGCTCTCAGTAGCAGTAATGCTAACCAATCAGCTCTCAGTAGCAGTAGTGCTAACCAATCAGCTCTCAGTAGCAGTAGTGCTAACCAATCAGCTCGCAGTAGCAGTAATGCTGACCAATCAGCCTTCAGTAACAGTAATGCTAACCAGTCAGCACTCAGTAGCATTAATGACAACCAATCAGCACTCAGTAGCAGTATTGCTAGCATTCTACTGCCTAAAACCTGTAGAAAAAAGGAAATTTTATTTGCTTTTTTACTGAAATCCGTTCTTTACTTTCTAAAATTAAAGGAAGGTCCTGGACAAATGATTAAAAACTATTTAAGCTTTTTATTTTTTACCTTCAGCCGTTTATCTCCATTGACCCCCACTCATTTAGGACTCGCTCGAGGGCGTTTAGCGGTCATCTTTTTGATATAGAAATAGGACGTGGCCAGGCTCCCCTTTTAAGCGGCTCTGGATTGAGACACAGCTCAAGGCAGGATCAGCTTACTTCCACTAGGTGGCAGTAATGGGCCTCGCGCTGTCCAGTTTGCCACACGAGCTCAAAAAGAAGAAGAGTCCGGGCTGAGTAGACCGCACTTTATAAATAAGAGAATAAGATGTTATTACGAGTAAGTGAAGCTCTTTTTGCGAAGACAGTTGCCTTTTGAGCTTCGAGTGGGTTAAAATCCACAGTCTCAATATTTACTGAAGTCAGGATAGGCCTGCTTAAGTGTATTGGGCAACAGCAGCAGGGCTAGGCTAACATTAGCTCCAACGACACAGTCCCTCGTAACGGCCGATCAGAGGAGTTTGGGAGAGATTAGACTCGATTAGACAGCTCGGAATAAAAGGCTAAAAGCTGATATATGTGCTTTTTCCGTACCTGTATGTCTTGAACCTCTTTCACTGGTCTTTAATGCGCTGTGTTTTTAATTCCAGAGGGTGTTACAGTGTGGAAAGTCTGCACTGAAGGGCAGCCGGTCAGTCCATCAGAGCTCTCCGTGGAGGAGCCCTCTGATCCCTATAGTGGTCGAGCAGACGGTAAGAAGAGCTTTTTAGGGTGAAAATGGCTCTGAGTGAGCTGTCAGTCTGTTTATTGTCAGTAATAAACCATAAATGCTGCTTCTGTCTCTCTTAAGGGGATGTTTAAAGGGGAGCTCGGCCCATTTTTCGATTTTTCTGCATAATTGAATGGCTGAGATGTAAACAGTGTCATTCACAATGTCCTTGAGTTAAAGAGAGACACCCAAGGTAAAAAATTACTCCAGTAAAAGTAGAAGCTCCTCCCTTTAGACCTCCACTTGAGTAAAAGTACAGAAGTATTTTCCTTCAAATGTGCTTAAGTATCGAAAGTAAAAGTACTAAAATATTAATTATGATTTTAATGTCCTATTACCATTTTTGTAACAGGACTCTGCTTCATTAACTCATTTTAGGTGAAAATACTCGAGTGTCACTCTTGGTGAACCAGTCTTTTAATATCTATTTAAATTATCATAAGCACAAAACGCTGAAGGCAAACCATTTCCATTAGGTAGAACCGAGTGGCTCCAAAATAACCTTTTACGAACAAGCAAAGTTTCAGTTTAAGGTTTATTTGCAAGTTTAATAAAAGCTTTAAACACAGGTTCACAAATGAGTTTCCTTTACTAAACTGCATCTGTAGGTCTCTGTTCATAAACATAAACTAGCCAAAACAAATTTACAATAAAATGAAATAGTGTTTGTATAAATTCAGAAAAAAGACACGTCAGTCACAACTGCATATGGTACATATTTCATTATTGTGGTCTATTTACACAAAGTTAGGTTAGTTCCATCATCTATGTTGGCATAGGCACCCAAAATTTTACGCGGCTGCACTGACGTTGAACGGCTGAGCAGGAAACTGTGTTTATCTAGAATAAAGAGCCAGACGGACTCGGAGGAAACTGTCTGTCTGTTTTGTTGAAGGAGAATCGCAGGGTCGTCTACACGGCTATCGGTGGCTACATCTCCGCACCATTCAAAGAGGGCATGAAGTTTCACAGACAGTGAGAATGATAATCAAAGTGATCGATCCACAAAGAGACAGGAGTGAGTGGAGCTCCGGCGCCAGTACAGCAACCGAGACCCCAACGTGTTATGGCAGCCCCCTACAGTTAGCCCCACTTTATCCTCCAAATATTACGGCTTTTTTTTCTCGAAATATGACAACTTTTTTCTCGAAATATTACGACTTTATTCTTGAAATATTACAACTTTATTCTCAAAGTCTACTATTTTTATTTTTATGAACAGTGGCCCTAAAACGCCGTCGTAGAACCGTATGCTTGCACTTGGTAGGTATGTCCAACAGGTCAAAACAACCTCAAAACAAAGTGCGTGCTGTGCCCTGATTGGTGTGCTGCTTCACGCTTCTTTCATTTTGACTTTGAAAAATATTACGTTTTTATACACACATAAACCAAAAGGAACGACAGATTTCGCATAATGTAGTGGAGTAAAAAGTATGATATTTGACTTTGAAATGTAGTGGAGTGAAAGTAGAAAGTCGCAGTAGAAAAATGGAAATACTTAAGTAAAGTACAGATACACGAAAAAACTACTTAATGAATTACATTTACTTTGTTACTGTCCACCACTGGTCATTCAGAGTGGTTTGGTGTGAAATGCTCTGTTCTAGAGAAACTTGCCGAGTCAGAATTGTTCACAGTGGCCTTGATAAGAACCAGACGTCTGAACAGTTTAATGCCTTTAAAAGCTCCCTCACAGAAAGTTATAACACAAAATAGTTGTGAATATGCTGCCTGATGACTGAGACATTGTTTCATGATAGTTGATACTAAAACATCTTATTAATCCTTTTATTGTAGTCCATTTGTGGCAGAGGGGTGCATGTATGGCATTGTGAGGCAAAATAGTCCCTCCAGAAAATATATATTTTTTCAGATTTATCACTATTTTACCATCATAAACATTACATATAAAACCCAGTAAGCACGTGTTGGTTCACTGGTGGTTTTGCATGATAAATAAAATGGTTATATTTGTGTTGTAGACACTGTGACCCCTGGTTCATTCAGACCATTTCACATCAAACCAGTCTGAATGACTGAATCTGAGTCACAATGATGGAAATATTCAAAAAAGT